GAACAATACTTCCATTGATTCGGTCGAGCCCAACCTAGCAACGGCTCCACTACTGTTGCGTATTTACGGAACTGTTGGCTAGCAATGAATATCGTCTCGTTTGTTTCGCTATGGAAATATGTCCTGCAACGAAGAAACTTTATGTTCTATTGGTTCTTTGCTGTCTTGCATGTCTCGTTCTCCTTGCTCTTCCTTTATTTCGGATGCGCATGCGTTGCTACAAACGCAGTTACACTGCGCTAGAGACGTCACGTTGCACAGTCAGAAAATACACGTTTTGTTAGATATTCAGAACATAGAAATAATGTTTCAAATGATGTAGATTTTAGTAAAATATAAATTCGTTCATGAGCCGGTATAGCACAGTTGGTATAGGGATGAGCTACGGACTGGACCGCTGTGGTTCGATTCCCTGTAGGTACAAGAGAATTTTTTCTACTTCAAAACATCCATAGCAACTTTGAGGTACACCCAGCCTCTTCTCCAACTAGTAGAGAAGGCTCTTTCTTTAGAGACAAAGAGACTGGTCCATGAAGCTGACCACCAACCTCAATCTAGTACCGAGGTAAACGTTTTCACGGAATGGCGATTAAGTAGTTAAGAACAGGAACAACTTTACGTTTGCCTTATATTTTTAACGTACTAGTCGGAAGGTCACGGGTTCAAATACCGATGAAGTCATTGGATTTTTTTCAATTGACCTAATCCTTCCGGCCGCACTATGGCCCTGGGGTTCACTCAGCCTCTAACAGAAATGAGTACCAGGAATTAAATAAATAATTTCCCTGGGGCCGGCGCGTAAGGCTGACAACCTTACCGCCATCTTTGATCCGATTGTCTAGATAATGTGGGACCCTCAACGTCTCACAACCCTATGGGCCTTCACGGCCTGTTGCAGGGATAGCTTTACTTTTTTTTTGGCATGAACTTATGAGGTTGAGTTTTTATTATGGCTTTTGATAAATCAAGTCTTGTACTGGATCGGTGAATATTAAATTAACAATTTTTTATGTAGAACCATAAGATTAAACTTAGTCGAATTCTGTAATAATTTCGGAGATGAAACGGGTGGGCGAACAAAAAGCTGACATTACATTAATTTTTAATTTCATGTATATTCATTCATCAGTAATCTGTCAGACGACAAGTCCACAGTCTCTTCCAAAACAGCTCCTCCACTTAATGCGATCTCAAGCTTTCTCCTTCAATTAAAATATCCTCTTCTGTCCTCAAGGTCATCCAGCATCTTCTTACGTCTTCTGGGTACTTCTATCCGCCCCTCCGGTTTGTTTTGTCTCCAGAGGAAATATCTCGCATACATGTTATCTCTGTTTTTGGAAAGAGACTATCCAGGAAAAGTGATAATGTGGTAGTTTTTCCATTTGCTTTCCACATCGCAGTACAACAGCCGTTCAAACCACTCTGGTCACGCTTGTTGCTATACGAACTTGAACCATCTCGAGCATATAACAAAGAATATATACAAATTTAACAAGGATGAAACATTGAAACTTTTCATTTTCCACATTTCGATGACGCTCAGGGAAGGAAATCTCTAACAAGATATTTCGAATAACAGTTTGCTCACTGGCTATGATATGGCCATTAAGATGTGTATAAGAAATGGATTTCGAGAGATTTGCTTTATATGGAGTGTTTGATAGCTTGGATCCGTCACAATGGCAGATCACGATCATTCAGTACTTAATAATGCCACTAAAATGCCACAGAATGGCGGTTCTCGGGGTTCGTAAAAGGAATATGACCTTTCCATTGTTGCTTCGAGAACAACATAGATACGTCACACAGCCAGAAAGAGGAGACATTTTCCCACGAAGGCTGTCGATATAACTCATTATTATTATTATTATTATTATTATTATTATTATTATTATCCTCTTCTTCTTTTGGCTTATTCAAATTAAGATTTAATCTCCGAAAGTATGCAGCGTTTACGAGATATTCGTAGATATTTGCTAGGACTCGCATTGCAAGGTCTCTCAGGCCGTCGACTTTTGTGTACTGCGTCTCTAGAGCCTTACTCTCTTGAATGCAAATAATATCAAATCCGCCAGTATGGGGATGTCTCGGAAACTGGAGTCCTTGGTTCGAATTTAACTAGAGGCATGGATTTCTGTGTGTAGGTAGTGGGGTTGCGAAGGGCTGATCGCCGTCCTACGGCCTGTCTGTGGGATTCAGATATTGATAAACGGTCAACTTCCAAAGGGCTGTAGAGTCATAGATAGAGGGGGACTGTATCAACCAGTGGTCACTGTGTGGACAACTGTTGTCATTTTCGTGATTAATGCTTGTTTAAAAGAGGTTTTTGAAACATACACTTTTTATCTCAATTTCAGTGTTGGGTGCTACTGTTGGCTTGTGACTATCAGAAGTTGAGCCCGAAGACGTAATTGTTTCAATCTTCCTGTGGATATATGTAGTATATGTATACTCGTATTTACATAAAATGTATAAATCCTTAGACCAGAGGCTTACTTCCGAAGCTAATATTTGCTCAGCTGCTCAAGAAACTCCACGATTTTAATGGAACTTGAGGATTCGTCACTGTTTCCATACAGAACCCGCTGTTGGTCCTCATCGTATGCCAGATCATATATTCAGCACCATCGTATCCTGTTTCTTTAAGACACTTTAATATTATCTCGTGTATGAGTGACTATCCACGGGTTTTTGATTGGTAATTGGATTTGTTGGATACTTACTGATCGTAACTACAAGTAACTATAGCGCTATCGCTAATTCACTCAGCAGTTCACTACAGCACGTACTAATTCTTCTCAGTCGTTGTCTGGTAACTGCTTCCAACGCCGTAGATCCCTCAAATTCCGTGTTCACTCCCTTACTGGCCGCTAAATGTCTCACAACAAACTACACTCTAGATTTGTCTTGCTTATAACATCTCGACACGAATCGCATAGAAAACACCGCCTCAAGCAGTTTCTCCATCACTGCGTCATGCAGCTGTCGCGCGGACAGAGTAGAGAACACTGCTTCCTTGTTAGTCTATTATTGCATGTTAGGACTCTGTTGCTTAGCAAAGGGCGTTGCTTAGAGAGTCACTACTTAGAAACGGGTCTACGTGCTAAAATATGTTTAAATTTATAAGCCGGAAAGTCGCGGAATCGAATCCCGTTAAAGTGGATTTCTTTCAATTGACCTAAACCTTCCAGCAACGCTATGGCACGGGGTCGACTCAGCCTCAAACAGAAAGGAGTACCAGGAATATTCTTGGGGGTAAAGGACGGCCGGCGCGTACGGCTGACAACCTTACCGCCATCTGTGAGCCGATTGTCTGGCTAATGTGGGACCCTCAACATCTCACAACCCTATGGGCCTCCACGGCTTGTTACAGGGATTCCTTTATTTTTTTTACTCTGCTTAGTAGGTGATTTACCATGATTTTTGTCGAGACACATGTAGCTACAGATGCTGACGCGCCTCTGAACACACACACACACACGTGTACAAATCCTAGATGTTCATCTAGAGCAAAATCTGGTTCTAGTGAACACGCAGGGTTTTGAAACTTACACGTGACATGCCAAATAAACAGACCCGGTTTATTTGGCGGCTAATTAACCTATAAGTTAGTAGTTGAGAGGGACAGAGATATATTGGGTGGTGGGGGAGTGTAATCCTGATTAGAGATTTACGTGCTTTAATGATTATTTAGGGGAGTTAGGGGGAGTATTTAAACTCCCAGCGGAGTGTTGGAAGTGGGTGAATATTGTGACGTTATTCTCGGGTCAGCGGGTTCATTTCGTCTCCACTAATCGCCCGTCCAAACTGACATTTCGAAGCGTCGCCACGCGACATCATATTCTCCTCTCCCCTCACACCCCCTTCCTGTTCTGTAAAGAGCTGCTTGAAATATTAGCTGAAATATACAGGTCAAAACAGGGCTGCACAACATTATTAATTCGCATAGTGAGGGGTGGAGTCCAGCTGGGTCCACTCGGCACGGCGGCCACTGATGGGCCTTTTGTACCTGCCCCGGGTGATTATGATGATGGATAATTTGGTGGAATGAAGATTGGCAGGGGAAACCGAAGTATCCGCCACATCGCCACTTTGTTCACCACAAATCCCACTTGACACGACTCAGGATCGAACCCGGGCCGCCGTGGTGGGCCGCCAGCGACTAACCGCTTGAGCTAAGGCGCGGGCACGCTGTACTCTCTTACTGAATGAACTAAATCAACTACAGACCTACATTGATTAAATGAATATGTAAGTTTAAAGCATAAGTACAAGAATGAAAACTATGAAAATTAATATCTAGTAATACAATAGTCACTGCTCTTGCAGTCGGTAGCATACGGCATACGGGCAAACGTGTCAAGAGTCACACATCTATGGTGAACTGCGCGTACCGCCTTAAAACTGGGGTTGACACTACCGACAAATATTTTTCCAGAAAAAAAAAATCCTGACAATAGGCATAAAATAAATGTAGAAAATAAGAAATTTGACCATGATTCCTAAACAAAATTCTCAACAAAATCAGACATAACCATTGAATTTAATATATTCACTTAATGTTGCTAAGCTCGGGTATTTGAAAATATTTAAAACAAAATGTAGTTCATATTTAACTTAGAACCAATCGCACATACCAGAATTCTTAATTTATTCATCATATGTATATCCATGTATCCATATATAAAAATTAAAATTCAGTAATTCCTCATCATTGCAGGTCCTTTTCTGAGGGAACAGCTTCACACATTTAAGAAATTTGCTGAAAAGATATCACACAACTGGGCTACAAATACTATAGGAATAGCAGGGCGTGTAGCACGCATGTAGGCGAAGGATACATACAAAATTTTGGTGGGAAAGCTAGAAGGAAAGAGGCCATTAGGAAGACCTAGACTACGTGAGAGAATAATATTAAAATGGATCTTAAAGAAATAGAATGGAGTGGTATGGATTGGATTCATATGGCTCATGATAGGGATCAGTGGAGGGCTGTTTTGAACACGGTAATAAACCTTCCAGTTATATAAAATTTTGGAAAACTCTAGAGCAGCTGAGCGACTGACGACTTCCCAAGGAGTCACAATGTAGGAATGTTCTCTATAGAAAGAACGAAGAAAATAGGATAGAGGCGATATATTTCTCCGAAACTTCGGGATATCTCCGAACTTGGCAACATTACAACCAGAACCCCGTATTCTTCATGGTCACAGCCATGAGAACCTCATACCAGCAATGAAATATAAGCGATTTATGAAAAGATGGAGCCATCTACAGTAACCTCAAAATAATGACCAATCAGTGTCTTTTCCTTCTTGATGTAAGAGATATCAACCAATCCAAATAACAAAACACTAAAGTCTCCATTTATTCACCACGTTTAACAAGCTTTGTCTTGTTAGACTAAGGGAAACTGTCGTGTTAATTGGAGTGCCTTTCGCTGGGTGTCATCTTTATCATGTGAAGAGATGCAAAAGAAACACGAGATCCGAGGTTTTGTTTTCAAGTACTCTGTTCTAGAGGGGCGCTTTCAAGAGATAGAGGTTAATTGTTGCATGATGACGTCATGAGGCGGCCCTCGCACGGAATGCTGGCATGTCACAATAGCTGACATCCCCCTGTGAAACAAGGAAAGGACTTTCGTTTAATTCTCTCGTTTCCTGTGAACTTGTTCAAGAGTTTGTTTCGCGTATCCAAGAAAGGGCCAAATGTCAGTACAAGTCTGCATGAATAGACACGAGGCAGCAAGGATCTGTGATGTATTGGTAGATGGTCTGCTTCCTGTTCAAGAGGTAAGATTTCGAACTCATATGAGGGCTGTGTTTCTCTTTAAATCCTTCAGGAGAAGTATGAAAAAGAATCTTAAATCTGTATTTGTGTGTAGCGTTAAAAGCCAATGAGTGGATGACGTTTCCTTCTGCTCGCAGCGGACGCAGACCTTGGAAGTAAAATATTGGTATTACATAGTAAAATAAGTAGCATAGCTGGTATTTCTCACTGTTGTTCACTCGTAACACAACATTTATATCAATAAGGTACATAAGGTATGCAGTCTACACAACACATAAACAAATGTTGATACAATAGTGACTTCTTTGTTTTTTAAATACATAATATTGTTGTGTGGACTGCATACATTATGTACTTTTTTGTACCTTATTTATAACACACAACAAGACGCAATACACACTATTAAGATTTCTATCAATATTGACCTAAAGTGATTTTAAGTAAAAAGATAGAGAAAGAAAAAGTGGAAATAATGATAATATGGAGGATAATTGAAAGGGGAAGGAAGTAATGCAGGAGAGAGCAGAGAAGGAGATAAAGATACCGAAATAATAAAGGATGAAACTGTGTGACGAATGAAGATAAAATCTATTCATGAGCTGAAACGTCCCGAATACGAGGGCTAATCGGAAAGTAACCTCCGTTTATTTTAGGCAAGTAATATAGGAGAGAGGGAGATTTCGCGCATGCGCGGTAGCATCACATGACTCTGCCTTGTAAACCATCACATAACTAGTCATCTAGTGTTTGTTCTTGTCTCTACAGAGTGAGTTATGTTGTGTCCTGCTATTGATAATCCTTCCATGAGTGAAATTCGCGCTGTTATCCGCTTTCTTCACGCTAAAAACGTAAGCGCTGCGGAAATCCTTCGTGAATATTGCCCGGTCATGGCCAAAATATAATGAGAGAAGGAATTATAAGACAATGGTGTATAATGGTCAAAATTGGACGAACAAATGTTCACGATGATGAGCGAAGTGGTCAGCCATCTGTAGTGAGTGATGATCTTGTTCAAAGTTCTTGTTCACATTTTTAAGGCTTCAGTTGCCACGTGTTCTGATACTGACAAAGAAAGCAACCATGTGCTGGGAGTAGAACGGGTACCTCTTCTAGTGTTTAATGAACTTAATAATCAATATATAACATTCCAAGGCGCTGCGTGGACAAGAACATTGAATTATTCCATGCTCAGTGAGGTTATTTTTCGTTGTTTCGTTAATTCTTAACCATAAGTTACAGAATTTAATGAGTGCTATATTTTAAACTCGTACTCCCAGTTATTCTCACAGGTAAACATGATCTGCCCCTTTTTAGCCTACTTTCCCAAAGTACGCTTATGCGGTCTTTATGCTCTCTCTGTATATCCCCAACTATTAACTTAATATGAAAATTGGTATATAGGCCTGTATCATGGCACCTGATCCCATCTCAGCGGCGTACTTCATAAATCCCTTCCATCAATCTACATATCTTTATATGTGTATCCCCCTACTGCTGCTAGGCAACGGCTCGGTGAAAACGTTACCGCGGTAAAGTACACATGCAACAGTAGAAGTGTTTGGCGTGTGAGTCTGTGTACCCCCCTATGGTTGCTAGGCAAACTTATTAAGACCTTTCTGCGGCAACGAAGAATTTTTGGAGACGTCATTTTCTATGCGACCCATGTCCCGGATTGGCGTGAGGGGACTGAGGAAAATCACTAATATATTCACTACTGCCAGTCTCCGTAGTGAGACTGGAGTGAGGTATTTCTAAATTACCATTAAGAATGCTAACATCTCTGCCTTGACTTCTGTTGACTTGGGTGCGTTGTTGGTGGTCCTGTCCTAATACCACAGAACCAGTTTCAATGCTTCCCTGTTTCCATCACGTGACTGAGATATCAGAATTTGTCCCGAAGCGCGAGGAGAATACAAGCTTATTCAAGTACTTCCCCGTTTTATCCGTGCATCATTGAATTTACTGCAAGCACGCTTTGCTTTTCTGAGCGAAAAGGGGTGTGAGGGGGTGGCGGAGGTAGCGACGCCCCTTCAGGTTGGCAGTAACAGCGCATGCCCGTCTGGCTTCGCTTACGATCACCAACCTGTAAATGTAACACAGTCAAAATCGAAGTGTCAGGTTTATGCTGGCTGAAAACCGGATGGTCTATTTTAAGACAAATTTGGCAGAATCTTCTAAGGAAGACTACGGCTAGAAAGGACTTGTGCCAACGACAATAATGACAGAAAGAAATAGCATCCCTATAGGATAAATTGTATCTTTGTATTTGCGTCACTAATAAGGTACAGATAAAGCTATCCCTGTAATAGGCAGTAGGGTTGTGAGACGTCTAGGCTCCCACATTTTCTCTAGACAATCGGCCCACAGATGGCGGTGAGGTTGTCAACCTTACGCGCCGGCCGCCCTTTACCACGCAGGAAGATTAATGGTACTTATTTCTGTTAGAGGCTGAGGTGACCCCAGGGCCATAGTGAGGCTGGAAGGGTTAAGTACTTTAATGCACTTTCAAAGGTATCAGCTATGTGCTCGAAATTGTGCCATTTGAAGCATAGTGACATAATATTTTTTATTGCTAGTGGGGTGAAACTAAGTCCCTTGTACTGCGGCCACTTCTGACCTATTGTACCAGCCCCAGATGATAGGTGAGGGTGATTGTGGAGCAATTGGTGGAATGAAGATTGGCAGGAAAAACCGAAGTACTCGGAGAAAACCTGCCCCAGCGCCACTTAATCGACCACAAATCCCGCTTGACCAGACCCGGGATCGAACCCGGGCCGTCGCGGTGGGATGATATAACTTATTTCACTCTTTCAACTGTTGTGAGAAGGAAGGCTAGGAGATAAAGGTATGAAAGGCTAAAGGAAAGAAAAAATGTGGTGAAGTATGAAGCAATTACAGAAATGATTCTTTCTTCAATTGTAACGGGCCTGTCCAAGGAAGTAGTTACACTTTTAGAAGAAAGAAGAGAAGGATGCGCGTACAGTGATACGGGGAGGATATTGATGTCACTGGAATCTCCTATTCCGTTTTATGTATTTCTTGTTGAAACGCCTCTGAAGGACGATGCCTGCAACCACCAAAAGGACGACGAGCGTCGTCAGTCCCGCCATGACACCAAGCATAGCCTCCGAGGAGCCGAGAGTCACATCGATGTTCTGAGGTACAGTCTCGGCTCGAAGTTGCTGCATCTCACTACACAACGCCTCCTGCTTCCAGCTGTAGAAGTGAACTAGGCGTTTGTTCCGCATCGGGATAGGCGTGTTGCACCTGAAACAAAATAATTAACTATTCCTTCTCCTTTAGCGGCGCTACAACTCTCTGTGAGTCTTGGACCCCTTCATGGTTTCGTAACAGTAAATCTGGGATGGAGTCGTTAACCCCACGCCCAACTCCCAACCTGGAGGAGCAGGGGCTACATTTCATCTGGCTCCTATTGTTTGATCTGTCTGGCATGTGTGGCCCTACCAGGAGCGTACGCTCCCGGCGGCATAGCTCTCAGGGTCACTGGGGCGCGCAAACCTCCTCTCCTCGACGAGCCGGCAGTCTCCAAGGAGGCTTAACTAATTAAGTAGTTAAGCAAGAGTAGATAAAACCACTATGAAGGATCCATTATTCCTGTTGTCTGAGTGAATTCATTGCGATTTTGCGTATCTTACTGGTCAGAATATCCGTTAGTGCATAGGTCGTAAAGAACGCCTAACGCGTTCTTATCCTAAGGATTCCATAAAATCAACTTTAATGAAGTTACTTATATCTTACAGTATTTAATTCTATACGAAACGCTAGCAAAGTTCAAACAGCCGAAATTAAATTCGTAACAAATATCAACGTGTATAGCATTTTGTGCGACTAAACTACACCTAGAATTTTATCTAGTCTACAGTGTACTGACAATATGGTAAAATGCTCGGCAACGGTAGCGTGGACTGTCTGTCCATTGCAATGATCAAACCAACCTCAGCTCGTACAGAAGTTCCTGCGAGGTTTTGTACATATGGCGCACCACTCTGTCCAGCATCCACTGCAGGGGACAAACACAGTCCCACGGGTTACCCTGCAGGTCTGCCGCCTCCAGCGACTCCCAGCGCGTGATCCGTTCATCTAGCGACGAGAGGGCGTTGTAACTCAAGTCCAGCTGCAATAAAAAGAGCTCCGTTCACCAATATCTCTGATCAAGTGACGCGAACGAAGAGCAACATATATTCGCGAAGTTTTTTTTTATTGCTAGTGGGGTGGGACTAAGTCCCTTGTATTGCGGCCAATTCTGGCCTATTGTACCAGCCCCAGATGATAGGTGAGGGTGATTATGGAGCAATTGGTGGAATGAAGATTGGCAGGGGAAACCGAAGTACTCGGAGAAAACCTGCCCCAGCGCCACTTTGTCAACCACAAATCCCACTTGACCAGACCCGGGATTGAACCCGGGCCGCCGCGGTGGGAAGCCAGGGAATAACTATGCCGCGGTCTTTCGCGAAGTTTACTTCCCTTCAAAATGCAATTTTTGCGCCACAGTATCAAATATATGGAGTAGAGTCCTTGACAAGCTACTAGTCGCTCAGACGGTCGAGAACGTCCACACGTGACACATGTGCGCGGTCTCTTTTAGTGACACGGTCAGTGTATCATGCTATACGGCATCGAATGGTAAGATGACTGATGAATAGTAACTTGCAAAGGATTTTGAGGGAATCGTTTGAGACCCTGTCGAGGTGATATCCAGTTATTAATATAAACGGAACGCGAAAATCTATGAACTATCTCAGAAAACGCAGTCAATGTTGCGGCAGAGATTCGAACTGAATTCCTCTGGAACACAAGTCTTCAGCGCTGTTGCTACATTAAACTGCTCGGTACGACTGATATGCAAAAAGAAGTTTCACAATATGGCGGCAATAGAGCTGAATCACTTTATACCCTCATACCCCGTTTCTTTAAGGTACATTGCAATACTAACGTCTCAAATCGTCTCTACCATTGAGGTATAAAATATTGTGACACAGTGGCTGAAAGCCGGAATAGCGGAGTTAGAAGAGGCGGCCAGTGCTAGTCGACGGCCGGTAAACACGCTCGCGAATCAACAAACACTCGGGCCATCGCTAGGCAACAGCTCGCTTAACATATCACACAACAATGGAGGAATTCTTGGAAGAGGTATTCTGTGTTCGATCAGCTCTGAAGCTACTCGTTTTGTCCACTACGGGCAACCTGTTCGAAAACGCCATTAAAAAAATGCTGCAAAGTCACACTGAGGTTAGAGACATGCTTAATGGAAGCCAGTTTGATTTCCTGTCCTAAACGTGTTTGTCATTACGTTTGTCATTACGTTTGTAGGTACGTCACTATGTTGATAAAACTATTATTGGGGGCACGCGGTAGCGTAGTTGGTTGAGGCATTATGCTACAAGCCGAAAGGTGGCGGGATCGAATTCCGATGAGGTGGATTTTTTTTCAATTGACCTAATCCTTCCAGCCGCACTATGGCCCTGGGGTCGACTCAGCCTTAAACAGAAATGAGTACCAGGAATATTTCTGTGGGTGAAGGGAGACCTGCGCGTAAGGCTGACAACCTCACCGCCATCTGTGAGCCGACTGTCTAGAAAATGTGGGAGCCTCAACATCTCACAACCCTATGGGCCTTCACGGGCTGTTACAGGGATAGCTTTATTTACCTATACTTTAGACCATTATTATGATGAGCTCCAATTACAGCTTTTTAATGAAACTTGTAGGAAGATTTTATTTAAGGACGCTGTGAGTAGCTCATACTATATTCCGTTTATTGGTAGCGATAAATAAACAATAAACTGGAAAAGATACAGAAGGAAGCGGTTAAGGCCTAATTTGAGATGTCAGTATCCCAGCCCGAGATTCGAACCAGACACCTCTCGAATATAAGTAAGAAGAGTCGCCGCTTGAGACATCTGTCTGTGTATGAACAGAGCAGAAGCGAATTTGAAGCACGCTGTTTCAACGGGGAACCACCCCCACCACCCACACGCCCACTCTCGTCCCCCTCCGCTAAGCCCCCATCTTACCGAGCATATGCCGACATCTCTGAAGGCGTCTGTATCAATCTTGGCGAGGGAAGGGTTCTGTGCCACTCTAATGGCGAGTCTCCTGTTGCAGTTCTGGGCAAGGGCTGCAAACTCCAAGCCAGTCTCCTCCGTGCCGCCACTACACTCTCCGCAAGGCGAAGCCAGACCTGCGCACAAAAGGAAAATGAATTGGAGGACTCCAGAGATTCGATAGTTCAATATGTCACGACATCGATAATTCGATAATTCAGCTTTCGATTGGAAAATTGTGCCTATTGTTCTAGCCGACATGAAAGATGTCGCTCATGTTACGGGAGGAACACACATAAACTCTGGCATCTGCGATTCTCATGAGACTGCATATTAAAGTTCATGATACGACCTACGCTCACCACGTGACACCCTCTATCCGCAAAAGTTGGCACTAACTTCGCCGACAAGCAGCGGTCGCTCGGTCGGTATAGTTCGCTTGCGGACTACAGGCCACGGAGTTTTGTTATCCTGTTCCGTGATTCCAGACACCGCGGGCCAACACTTTGTGTCTGCTTTGTTATCATTTAGAACTCGTCCACAGATCAAAGCAACTAACATTATACAGATGGCCAGTAGCCCCAGTTATGAATGTATGTGTACTTGAGAACTCCCAGCCGAAGCCCTTTAGCTGAAATGTAGCTAAGAGTCCATATTCTCAGTGAGCCGCACCATCAAGTCACCAGCTCCTAGCTCCATCAGCTGATATTCTGAATATTAAACTAGCCACTCGGACATTAATATGCTTTAGAGGGAAACCATCGAGAATTCTTCAGCACAAGTATGTACTGTCACGTGTAGGGGTGACTATAGACGGGTTCTGTATTGGATGAATGGATTTATTGAAACCTTATTCACACAACTCGAAACTACAAGCAATTACAGCGCTATTTCTGATCTACGCTTTACAGTTCACCTTTGCACACGCACTAAGGTTTTAAGTCTTTACTAGTCGTATCCTGGCAACGGATTTATAAGAGACTCACTGTCACTTAAAATCACAGATGAAGTCTTCTTTGCACAGTCTAGTTAATTTATTGCCATTTCTTGTCAATCACCTTCGACTGCCATCTCCAGAACTCGACCCAATTCTCGACAAATGACTCAAATGAATTCTTCTTCAATTGAACTCTTACAGCTTCTGACACCTAACTGCTTCCTTTCAACTTTCCGTTATCCTTGGGGCGGACCTCACGAAAAACACTGCCTTCTATTATCCCTATTGTTTTAGGCGTGTTTACCGAAACGTTGCCTAGCAATGACCTCTGTGACTCAGCACTTTACCTGAGAATGCTCCGGCATTCAGCTCCTGTAGCTCCTTAATGTGACTCACGCTGACCCAGGTCAAGTTGACGAATATTTCGCCGTCGTTCTCTTTTCCCGCGGTCGGGAAGCGAACCTGTCGCATCGGGTTGTTGTCTAGGCTGAGCCACTGCAGAGACGGCATCTGGAGCCCAGTCAGTCCGTCGGGCACTGCGGTCAGTTGGTTCTGGGACAGGTCCAGGACCTCCAGAGTCCCGTAATCCACTACGGGAAACGACGTCAGTAAGTTCGACGACACATTCAGTACCTGAAAAGTAATTGTTAGGTCTCAGTATTAAAACCGCAGGACTCAAGCAGCAGTATTGGCAAGTGCTTGCTTCGAATCTGACCAAGGTTACTTGCTTTACTGACTGAGGTCGTTTATATTTTCGCTCACCCTCTACAGGTTGGAGGACGATCACAGAGGTCGTGCGGTTTGAGGCACGAACCGTCTTTGCTCGCTCGAACGCTTTGACCGTGGGTTCGAATCCCACTCGAGACATGGATGTCTGTGTGCGTTTATTCTGTATTTGTTTTGTTCTGTGTGTAGGTAGCGGCCTTGCGACGGGCTTATCCCCCGGCCAAGGAATCTTACCGTCTGTGTATAGATTAAGAAACTGAAACACCGGCCGAGGTCCACAAGAGCTGTAGAGCGACAGATAGATAAATTTACAGGTTGGAGACGGCATAGAACCTGGAAATAGGCGATTACTGCCTCCTTCCAAATTCATACCTACTCACCTTTCATGGTCATCGTAGTATCTGATATAGACATGATATAACCTACTCAGCTGAAGCAGTGTACTGAATGGCATAAATGCCGAAGAACCATTGGCACAGGAGGCTGGAGGCACCCGAAGAATATATAGAGCATGCGCTCTAAAGCAAATTTGTTTTTAACGAAAACCCATTTAGGGCGTGACTGCACCGTCCGAATTTGGGGTAAGAGGAAAAGATTTTCGTGTCGTCTCGAAAACAGATTTTCCTTCCTATATTTGATGATACTATTTTTCAATAGCACAATATCGGGAAACGCATCCGTTATCACTTTCTACTGCTGGTTTTATTTTCGTTCCTTGGAAAACGTTTATTTATTAATATACGTTTAAAGCTATAATGCTTCATTTGTTTCTAATTGAACATACAGCGTACTGAAGTTTGGTGGTGTTGGTGGTGCTCGTGGTGTAGTCGGTGATGGTGGTGGTGTTGATGATGCGACTGTTGGTGTTAGTATTGGTGTAGGTGTGGTGGCGGTGTTGGTGTTGTTGTGGTGGTGGTGGTGGTGACTGTGATGATTTTGTTGGTATTGGTGGTGGTAGTAGTAGTAGTAGTAGTAGTAGTATTTATGTATTTTAATTTACAATATACTGGGCTCTATCTTACGCGGTAACTGCCCTCTAAAAGAAGTTATCGAAGGAAAGATAGAGGGGCGGATAGAAGTGACCAGAAGACGAGGAAGAAGACGTAAGAAGATGCTGGATGACCTTGGGGACAGAAGAGGATATTTTCATTTGAAGGAGAAAGCTCTAGATCGCATCAAGTGGAGGAACTGTTTTGGAAGAGACTGTGGACCTGTCGTCTTGACAGATTACTGATTAATGTATGAATAGTGGGCTCTATATCTATCTATTAGGAATACATACCCGAAAATTTTTCTGTTGACAAGTAAATCGTTTTAAGTTGTGCTTCTGGTCAAAGCAAGAATCTGATTTGTCACGCTTCAAGATAACATTTTTCTCAGCATTAAAATCCACGTAAACTTACATTATTTACTGAACTTAGATAAGCCGTTTCTTAGAGCGACTGATGAAAGAAGACTGACTCTCATTCTGTGATGTTGAGACCGTGGAGGACCTTGAAAAAGATGGAATGAATATATCGTTTAGAGACAGGTTGGATTTCCTATACAATGAAACTAAGAAGATGTAATAGATGGTCTGTGTTTCTGGATAATGTTATTAGTTAAGGATGCGAAATACATTTTTATTATCACTTAACACATAACAACATACCATGGCCAGTGTACCGGAGTATGAGGGACATTACTTCTAGTTATACATTGAATAAATTAGTTGGTAAATGTTCTTTGGTTCAGTTCTGGAGAGGTCTGATCATAGAGTACATAACTAACTCCACGGAGCTGAGCCCTTCTTGAGAAGTTACAAGTTGCTCAGCTACTCAAGAATTTCCCAACATTTTATGGAACTCGAAGGTCCATTACCGTGTTCACAAGAGCACTCCATTGGTCCCTATCCTGAGCCAAACCAATCCATTCCATACAACCCCATAATATTCCTGTAATATTCATTTTAATATTATCCTCCCACCTGTGTCTGGACCTTCCTAATGGTATTTTTTTCTGGCGTTCCCACCAAAATCCTACTTGCATTCCTCTTCTTCCTATGCGTGCTACATACCCTGCTCATCTCATCCACTTTGACTTGAACATTCCAATTATGTTTCGTGAATGGTACAAGTTACGAAGCTCCTCGTTATGCAGTTTTCTTCAGTCTCCTATTATTTCATCTCTCTTAGGTCCAAATATTCTCCTCAGTACCCTGTTCTCAAACACCCTCAGTCTGTGTTCTTCCATTAACATCACAGACTGTTTCATACCCATACAAAACTACATACAAAATTACATCTTGTTATATTTTAATTATTACGTTTCTAGACAACGTACGAGGGACCACAGAGTACTTAGAGATGGAGCGTTCAAGAAGCTACAAATTTCTTATATGACCCTGAATTTTCACGATACATAACTGCACAGACAGAATGAAAGGATTTAGCTGCAGATATCTGGCGGATGTGTGGGATGAAAAGCAGAAATATTCCTTTCAGCAATTCAAAGAATGTTTCAGTATGTACTAAAACTTCTTTGTCCTTGGCTTTCCTCTTTTGTGAACAAAATGCAGCCTGCTGGATATGCGATGCCAAGTTTCTAGTTTTATCTAGGTTTTATTCAGTTTTTCATTTTCGAAACTAGAATGATTTGCGCGACCAAATAAATTAAAAACCCTGTTCTACCGATTGTCGAGGTTGCCATCTTAGTATTTTTAGCTTCGTAATTCAGAGACCCAAGATTAATTCTTCTTTTTCTCAATTCGGATATCTTTACTGAAATTTTCCGAATCTTCATCAGTCCGCCCAAACAAGAGTCGAAGCACTGTCATTACACACCGACCGCTTCCCTCCACACAATTCACAGCATGCCTACGCCGGCCATAACTATCCTGTCGCGTCATCACACCCGTTATGACTGAGAAGTGTCGTTAAGTAAACTAAGAACCAAGTATGATCCTGCCTGCTTCTGTCTCATTTAATGAAGGCGGTGTTGTGCTTATGTGGAACTTACTTACTTATGGAGCTGAGCCCTTCTTGAGGAGAAGCCAAATCTGAAGCTACTCAAGAATTTCCCAGCATTTTATGGAATCCGAAAGTTCATTACCGTGTTCACAAGAGCCCTCCAGCGGTCCCTATCCTAAGCCAGATCAATCCAATCCATACCATCCCATCCTATCTCTCTAGGATCCATTTTAAAATTGTCCACCCACCTACGCCTTGGCCTTCCCAGTGGTCTCTTTCCTTCTGGCTTTCCCACCAATATCCTATACGCATTCCTTTCCTTCCCCATTCGTGCTACATGCCCTGCCCACCTCACTCTCCTTGACTTTATCATTCTAATTATACTTGGAGAAGAGTACAAGTTATGAAGCTCCTCTTTATGCAGTTTTCTCCAACCTCCTGTCACTTCATTTCTCTTCGGTCCAAATATTCTCCTCAACACCCTGTTCTCAAACACCCTCAGTCTATGCTCTTCCCCTAATGTCAGAGACCAAGTTTCACACCCATACAGAACCACAGGCAAAATTATAGTTTTGTATATTCTAATTTTTATGTTTTTGGACAGCAGACGGTGGAAGCCATGGTAAATTCCCTGTTTTGCCATTCTGTGGCATTTAACATTGGTTGTGTCATGCATAGTGCTTCTGTGCATTCTGAATTAAAGAAGAGTGAAGAATTCCCAGGATATGACCTTTAAACTCTTATCTAAACGTCTATAACTACCATGAAGCGATTTCTCACCCTGAGTCGTAAGCCGTTTACGGCGATGTTTTGGAGAGAGTTCTTCTGCACATGAAGTTCCCGCAGCTTCAGGCGTCTGACAGGTTCCCCCAAGTCCTTGAGGAAATTTCCTGCCAGGTGTAACACTTGGAGATCAGCTGCGATTTTTAAATTTTGAAGCTCCATTCCTTGTTGATTCCAGGAGAGAGACAACCACTTCAAAGATTTCAACGTGGATAAAGCAGATGGATCCACTGTCACGATTTGATTGTACGATAGATCCAAAATTTGCAATGAGGTTAGTGAAGCAAGATTGTATTTTTCTACGGATGATATGTTATTATTTGATAAATTCAATGCTATTAGGCTAGTTGCGTTCTCAAATACATTAGATCCTATTTGAGCTATGCAATTAAATGATACATCTAGCTTTTGTAGTGTTGATATTGCAAATATTTTCGCTTTTAAATGTTCTATCATATTATGAGACAAATAGAGCTCTTTCAAAGAATTCAGAATGGTAAATGTTCCTGGAAACATATTCGTGAGCATGTTTTTGGATAAATCCAGAATTTCCAAATTTCGTAAACCATGGAATGATTTATCGTAAAGAGTTTTCAGTTTATTGTTCTTTAACGAGAGAGCTTTCAAAGTTGTAAGCTTGGTGAACGTGCCAGAATCTACAGCACTGATCTCGTTTTGTGCGAGAGAGATGCTGTTGATGTTGACAAAAGACAGATGGCCAAGTTTCTCGATTCTGTTGCTTTCGAAATATGCCGAGGTGGTATTATATTTATAATGCGCGTAACTGTCTGGGTACGGCTGTGGGAGTATTCCAGAGTTATCACCTGGCCTCGTCTTGACGTCCGAACAATTAAGCAGCAACACTGATTGGACCAAAGAACATCTGCACATATCACACTGTTCCTCTGATGACAGAACACCGACAACGCTGCTAAGCAGAGTAGGTGCAATGAGCCACAGCACGAGATTAGGCATGTTCTTGTTTTCTTGTTTCCTGCAAAACAAGCACACAGCACAGTAAAACCCTTGCCGATTTTCAAAGGGTCAGACCGACACATTACTTTATATAGGTTTACAAGGCTTAAACATACAACAATAAATGTTCAACTAACTAATCGACTACATTCAACTGAGTTCTTCTTGAGTGCCTCCAGTCGCTCAGCTACCCTAGACATTTTCAATATTTAATGGAAACCGAAGGTTCGATACCGTGCTCAAAAGAGCCCTCCACCGGTCCCTGTTCTGAACCAAATCAATCCAATCCATATAGCACCATCCCATTTCTGTCAGAATCAGTTTACTATTATCCTCCCATTTACGTTTTAGTGGTATCTTTCCTATTGAATTTTCCACCACACTCCTATATGCATTTTTCTCCCCATTCCTCCATGCATGCTACATACCATGCCCATTTCATCTTCCTTAAATTGAGCATTCTAACCAAAGAATTCATACAAGTTCGAGGTTTGTGTTACATTTATAAGAAATTTGATCTTTCTGCGGCAATGAGTTGTTAGCCCCATGCCCAGTCCACAAACTGGAGAACCACCCTTTGTCGGCTGTGTGCGACTGCTTAGTCAATATATTCGTTGCTACCCTCTATAACTGGAGGCCGTCTCCTGCATCCGCAACCTGAGGACGGGCGTTGCCGTGGTGGCAAGGTACCCACTTAACATGGAAATAAATAGATTTCGTCAAAACGTTCACAGGTTTTGTATAACTCCGAATTATTTTTATGTGTTCTTTGCTTCCTATGGACCACACGTAACCTTTGAACACTTCTTATTCACATTTCTAACACAAATACCACTTTAGTTAAAAAAGAAACCTCCAGAAAAAGAAATGCTTGGAAGATTTGGGGTAGACGGGAGGAGAGTATGAAAGTTGTTTTAGCCGAAATGGAGTTTGAGTGAGTGGACTGAGTTCGAGTGGCTTGGGATAGATACACTGGAGAGGGGCTTCTGTTAACAGTGGAATGAATCTTCAGATTTCAAAATGGAGATGTTTCTTGACCAGCTGACCGACTATTAACTTCACAAGAAGGCGCCTGTTCCATGGAATTGTTACTTAATTGATCCGCCATACCAATACAATGTTGCTATAATGAATTAACAACTGCCACAAAGTACAGAGAACCAATTCGCCCTGTAATCTCGTAATTTCGTAATGACAATGAAGGAATTTGCCATAGCTAGGAATAATTTGATTATTATGTGTTGTATACGCAAGGATATAGTGGAGGCAGTGTCCGTCCGTCAGGTTTCGATGGAATTTTGTAGATGTGAAGGGTTTCCACCCACCGTTGTCACGCTGAGGCGGATGGAGGCATATGCGAAATAGGCCATGGCTTAGGGCTCCTCGCGAGGTTGGTATGAGAGGGTAGTGAGCCCTTTAGGTTTCGATGTGCAACAAAAACATGTTTCCACTCCCTGTCTTCATTGAGTCTGATAAACAGTAACGCGTGTAACACAAAGCCAGACCTCATCACATTCTTCAGTGCATTGGGGCCACGTTAGCCCTTAAACCGCCTCTGTTGTTACGCGAGTTTACGAATAAATTAAAGTGTATTATTTTCCGGGATGTTATGCCATAGAGTCTGATTTAAATTAACCGACATTTCGAAGTAACATACTCCTTCCATCTTCAGGGCCGAAGAGTAAATCCAGCAACCAGAAAAAAGCAAGCAGCAATCAGAGCGCGCTAAAAAATCCGTCATTGGACCGAAGTATACCGTAGAGCTGATCCCCACTAACTTCATTTTAGCGCACTTTATGAATGCTATCATACATCAAGAGGCAAGTGAGATACGTGACGCGCGTGTGTAGATATATCTAACACGGGATCAATGCCTCGTTTAATGGCCTCTAAACTTTATTACAATGAGCTAGAAATTGTATAGTTGTCTTTGCAGTCATATTTGTGTCGAATGTAATATAACAAAATGGCGACTGCAAGAAATCACTTCCTTGCACGAAATTAATGACTAAAATCTATCAATTTATTATAAGCAGCAAACTGACTTGCATTCGGAAGGGGCGTGGTTCGAATTTCGGTCAGAGGACTGATTATCCTGGGTGATATTTGTGTAGTTTTCCGCAGTCACTCGAGGTTAATGACGGAAAATTAATTCAAATTACGCAATGGCTGCTTCCTTGCACATTCTTCTCCAGTTCACTACTCACTGCCATTCAGAAATTCGGTGCTATATGTTATGAGCGTCGTTAAATGAACTAGAAATAAGCACACAAATAAATACAATTGACTGGGGACTTGCTGTAAGTATGTGGAGTTGTAAAGTGAGAGAGGCTTAGTGAGTCAACTGCTCAAAGAAACGCAGTACAGCATATTACTTCGAACACGACAGCTCACGAGTGCGTTTCATGACTCTCAGCCCACCTCCTACAGAACATGACTGCTCATGAGTGCGTCTCATGACTCTCAGCCCACCTCCTACAGAACACGACTGCGTCTCATGACTCACAGCTCATCTCCTACACAAGACTGCTCACGAGTGCGTCTCATGACCCACAGCTCATCTCCTACACAACAAGACAGCTCATGAGTGCGTCTCATGACTCTCAGCCCACCTCCTACAAAACACGACAGCTCATGAGTGCGTCTCATGACTCTCAGCCCACCTACTACAGAACACGACTGCTCACGAGTGCGTCTCATGACCCACAGCTCATCTCCTACATAACACGACTGCTCATGAGTGCGTCTCATGACTCACAGTCCACCTGCTACAGAACACGACTGCTCACGAGGTCTCATGATTCACAGCTCATCTCTTACACAACACGACTGCTCACGAGTGGGTCTCATGACTCACAGCTCATCTCCTACACAACACGACTGTTCACGAGTACGTCTCATGACTCACAGCTGATCTACACAACACGACTGTTCACGAGTAGGTCTCCCAACACCACTGCTCATGAGCCAATCTCCCACATAAACACCACTGCTCACGAGCAGGCCTTATGACGCACAGTTTATCTCCCACAGAAACACAACTGCTCACGAGTACGACTGTTCACGAGTAGGTCTCATGAAGCACAGCTCATCTCCCACAGAAACACCACTGCTCATGAGCCAATCTCCCACATAAACACCACTGCTCACGAGCAGGCCTTATGACGCACAGTTTATCTCCCACAGAAACACAACTGCTCACGAGTACGTCTTATGACGCACAGCTCATCTCCCACAGAACACGACAGCTCATGACTCACAACCTCATCTCCGATAGAACAAAACTGCTTATGGGTTTGATTTGTTTCTTTCTGGTCCGTCACACTAACAATGTTATAAAAGAAAAAAACAACTCCGTCGAGTGTGACTGTTGAAGTTCTTATTACTTCAATTCTTAACGCCCTTACATGTTTCGGTCCTTATAGACCATCATCAGAGTGACATCGATACAGTTTGGGAACCACTATTACAGTGGGTGTTCTGAATGCTAAAATATATACACATATTGTACAATGTTTGTAATGCACAATCGATACAAAATCCAAACAAACACAGGACGATATCAAAGAACCAACTTCTCAAGAAAGACAGGCGACACAAGTTCGGCCACCGTCAAGAAAGGCGATAAGAGAAAGGACACGAACCTATTTGGTTTATAAATTCTAACTTAAATGACAAAAGTTTTAAAAATTTTAATATACCAATACAGCCGCTGTAGTTGTGAAAACTTTGGATTCTGTATCTATTGAGCATTACAAACAGTGTATGTGTATATATTTTAACATTCAGAACACCAATTTTAATAGTGGTTTCAAAATGTGTATCGCTGTCCCTCTGATGATGGTCTATAAGGACCGAAACATGTAAGGGCGTTAAGAATTGAAGTAATAAAAACTTCAACAGTCACACTCGACGGAGTTGTTTTATCTTGTATAATGGTTATGGGAGTGTCATGACTCGCAGCCTATCTCCCATTATCTTTCGAATATTTCACCATTATCGATGCTACACAGAATATGAAACTGATGTGACCTGTTTAAATAAGTAAACACGGGTGTTACGAGCCACCATTTTGAAGCCAATTTGTTTTAACCAGAGAAGTGTGCAGTTTTGATTTATTTAATTCATAATTTTCTTCAGGTCAGAGTTTTCTGGAATGTAACGCCGTGTAATCTGGTAAATAGGTACCAACAGTTCGGAGGCGCCTGCTACCTTGGAAAATGTTAAATATCTACTAAACCACACGCCGTCACATTTCTAAAAGTCTTATCATTACAACATTCACCGCAGCGAGGACCTTATATTGGACCAAATACTTTCCAATCCATTAATCACCAGTCATCCTATTATTCGACGCTATCATCCGCGATGCTGACAGCGTTATAAAACAAAATAAACGTTCAAAAATATAAGTTTGGAACATCGAAATTACGCCACTGATATCTCAAGTTACAATCCCTTTCCATTCTAACGTCTTTGTTTTCATATTGCTCTTATTGCTGTGGGCCGAACTGGTGAAGTTGAAGGGTCTACTAAGAATATGATTCTGTCCCGCCCTAGCAATCACCCACTCACAGAGCCGAGGCTGGGACGCTATTCCAGACAGAAAATATCCTACAATACACACGAATACGATGCAAAGACACAGAACAAAGATATGTTTATGCAATAGGTTTCGCAACAGACATTTGAGAAAGTCACTTGCTTTTTATTCACGGTTAACGAATTAACGTTTATAATATGGTTAAATGGCAGTGGTTTGTCTACTTACGTGTGAATCTATTGTAAGAGAGCAGCTGATTTAAGACAGCAAAGCATGCGACGTGCCTTTTTCCTATCAGCTATGACAACGATAACACGGCTGTGTACTTTAAGCGAGATAAGTTCAGTTTCTGTGAAAACAGTGACGGCTTGTGAGAGCACGTGGTCTCGTTATTCGTAACACTCAATGAAATGTTCCTTGGAGTTAAGGCTCTCAACACTGTGTGGTCCGGTAACATCTAGAAGGGTTGTTTCTGGCATACATTTTTATTAAATGAAACTATTCATATACTTGTATTTGCTTGGATACACCAAGGAAAACAAAACAACGCATTAAAATTGTGTATTATGTCTTTATTTAAACTTTTACGTTTCTGTACTATTGCAGGAATTCAGCATCAGCAAAAGTGGAAGTATTTACAGAATAACTACACCTGTGAGATGAACAAGGAAAAGTACTGGAAATCACGGAGTGCTGCTTCTGGAAAGCTAGAGTACTTATTCTTCCAGCTACATGTCTTGAAATCAGTTACCAATAATAAGACCAGCAATAATTCTGAGGCAAAAGATGTGGAGTCTACTGAACCTACTAAAGGACATCTGTAAATGTTTCATGCCAGTCCTGCTGAAAGAAACACACAGTACAAAAGCTTTATAAGGCTCTAACAGCATTAACTTAAAACAGTGAAGCAAACAAGACAAGAATGATGAGGATTCACATTTTCTGCTTTCACTCCAAACATTCATGCAGAACTCTGTATTACCACTTATCAATGCCACACAGTTCCACTTTCCAAGGCAACAAAATTCTGTTTGTAATTAAACAGATCCAAGGTTCCCACATTCTTCAACTTCTATGCATTCCAACCCAATCCCCATTCCTCCTCACCAGCAACATCTCTAGGCACTGATCCTGAATACAATTTAGTGTAATTCTGTTTAACAGTTAATCCTTTGCAATGTAAATTTTTTGTTCTGGTTTCATCTCTCAAATTTATTCTTATTAATATTTTTTTCTTCTTCTTTGTTGCCTGCTATTGCTATTATTACTTTTATATCTTATTTTAAGCATTTATTTTACACAGAAATAAATATCTTTGTTATACATCATACAAATATCAAGATATAAATCCTCATGGGAATTATTACAGAAAGATATTTTTACCTTAATGTTACAGCGAGTCCCTTTGCTGGAGGAACACATCTTCTCACATTTGTGTCTAGTCCCTACATCAGAGTTAGTATTTCATCAAATTACTTCACTCACATGTGAAAATAATTATAAAATTCACCTGCATCTATCCTGAGTTCATAAAATAGTGTATAAAATTGGACGTGTCTTTGTATAGTAGGCGCCAAAATATTCAGTACTGAAATGAAAAGACGCCCTGTTGATACCACTGTCTATTCATGTGAGGGCCCCTGGCATGACAGAACCTTCTCAAATCCTGAAGAAACGGTCCGATCACCATGTCCCTGTAGGGTTCTTGGGTGATGGTAAGAGCATTGCCTTCCTCATCCTCAATGAAAGAGGGGCCTAATATACCGTGTGCTGAGAAGGCACACCATATCGTTACACGTGTACTATGCAGCGGTTTCTGTTGATACCACTGTCTATTCATGTGAGGGCCCCTTGAATGACAGAACCTTCTCAAATCCTGAAGAAATGATCCAATATCCATGTCCCTGTAGCATTCTTGGGCGACGGTAAGAGCATTGCCTTCCTCATCCTCAACGAAATAGGGGCCTAATATACCGCATGCTGAAATGGCACACAATATCATCACACATGTACTATGTAGCGGTTTCTGGACAATAACATCTGGCCGCTCAAAACCAAGGAAGCGAGTTGTCTGGTGACCACTTCCGTATGAGCAAAAATAATATTCACTATGAATACTATTTCCTCCATCAAGAAACCCATTTCCAACAACTTCCTTTTCACTACTGGGAACACGTGCGGGTGGAGCTATGCCCCATCGACAAACGCACATGCCTGTTCAAGATGTGCGAGTTTCAGTACTGTATTTTTGGTGCATATATGTGTAAAGGAGAGGATGAAACCAACACTGGCAATGTTTCCTTTTTTTTCTGTACATTATCTTGTGCAATAATGTAAGAATGAGAATGCCCTCTTTGAAATCCGCTGTGTTTACAAATGGAATCAAAACTGAAAACACAGAGGGGTGGGTGGGCAGAAGCAGCAGCGAAAGTAAATGCTTCGCCAAAGCTTCCCATGGAAAGAGGACCTTAAAGCTGTACCAAACTGCTAAGTTGTAAGAGGGCTAAGGCGAGTTACTTTCAGCATTTACTCAACACTTCAGGAAGATATCTCTAATTGTCTATATTTTAACTGATTTTTCCATCTGACTCACAATCATTATCATGCCATGATGAATAAATTTATCTGTGCTAAAGAGGAAGAAAACGGAAAATAACATAACAAATATACATAATAAAATATTTACATAAACTTACATCAGTTATTCTTTCATACAAAACAAAATGGTCCATTCCATCACCGGCATTAAAAAATATCACAAACAATTAAATGACTCTTAACATATGTTTTCATATTGCTCTGTTGGCGCTTCCGATTTATTTTACAGGATCAATAAAAAGGAAGTTACAGCAGCCATTCATGGGAAAATCTGAGTATAATGTTCATGATTTTCTCTAGTCAAGATATAAAGAGATGACACAACCATAAAATACAGAGTGTCCACAAAAGACTGCACACTTTTAAATTTCCTGCATTAAAAGTTAGTGAAACTTTTTATTTTTCTGAACTTTCAGAAACTGAAACATTTGCAGTTCTCTGCTACAAAACACACTGATTATAAAATTCAGCATTCTGGGATAATTAATATATTTCCTACATCTGGCAAGAGTATGAAACTGAAGCAGTGATTCCCCAAACGTCACATCAATCAGCAAATAAATACACTAATTCCCATTTAAAAACTTTTCTGAAAATTTCTCCCCTCTATGTCCTGTTTTCTCCTGCCAGACACCTTTACATGGCCTTCCACAAATTCACCCAAGTTCAGGGACTTTACCTTTTACCTTTACATTTTATGGCAAACTGCTGACACAAATACGATGTCCCACAGAGGTTCTGTATCACAGCTTTGGAAAAACAGACATCCAGAACTCTTGTGACACTTGCAGCAAACTATGATGACAGCACGCTGCCAAATTTCAGGAGTACTCCACTTCACTTACCAACCTGTGACATCAAGAGTGGATGTGTATTTATGTTTCAATAGATCTCATTTCAAGTAATCACAACAATGTATGTAATGAACCTGAAAACCCGAGTGGTTCCTTTTACTAAGCACATCTGGCAACTACAGTGAAATACCAATTCAAGGCTTCTTATAGTTTAATGGACGAATACCAAACTAGAAATTTATTATGGAAGTTACTGCAAAGGGATCTCAGAAATTAGCCTTTAATGAAAGACAATATTAAAGCATGAAATGAAACGTCACACAGAGGTTCCAAAATGCTTTTTCCTTAACTGGGTCAAATTGACCAAAGTAACCCATGGCACAAAGTCTTAATTTGGTAGCTAATTATGAACTTCTCTGCTTTAAAGAATCATGATACACCATTGGACCCTATCAGCCAATTCAATGCAGTTCATGTCGTCATAACCAACTTATTCCATGTCCATTACAGCATCCTGCCAACTAAACCCACTGAGATGAAAATGTGGATTGTGTTTAAGTTAATGACACTGTGCAGTTTTCATAAAGGGTTAGCGACATTTCAAAGGACCCTGCTGTGTTCATCTTCAAATTTTAAGATGGAGGCAGCAAGTTCCTCCAACACACTGGTGACCACTTACTACATGGTGTCTCCACCTTCTGCCCTGGAGATGAAGGCCACATGTCCTAAAACACTGATAATTACATATGATACTACAAAGTGTCATAACCAAGAACACAGAATCTTTCTTCCATATAATATTCCTACTGCAATGTTGTAGATATTTCTTGTTTCATATTGCATGATACGTTCCCTGCCTGTCTCAAACTTCAGGATTTAACCGGCCTCTCTCGTCTCTTCTATTCATGCAAATATAGAAAGTGACATATGAGGGTGTAGTACTCCGAGGGTGAAACGAGTAAGTGAATACAGTAAATCACTCTGCAACAGAAAAATATGCTGGCACACACACACTACACACATCTTCTCCAACAGAAACAATACAAGACCTTCAGTTTTAATTAACAATAAATATTTAATGAACAAAACATCACTTTCTCTCAAATACTGGACAGCTGCTTTATTACATGAATATAAAATTTTCATCTTTGAAGTTTAGGAATTAATGAAGGTATAATACATCTCAAGCCTTAGCACTTACAAAAACTTCTTTAACTGTCCAAAGCATGCATTACACTCATATCTGTCACATCAATGGGATTAAACAGCATTTATATCTACATTTGCTATATTTATCACAAACACATTATTTTTTAACTTAAAACGTATCCTCAATAAACTGTCTATGTTTTACATTTACTTTACACTTCAATATATAGTTCCCTAATGCCTTAAGACCAGATATATCTTCTTCTGTGGACACCCTATAATGGTTAAAAAATTCCATGGCTCACATGAGATACAATTTATGGACACTTTGGTACATATCTTATGCAACTGCCTTGAAATAAATCTGCAGGAATAACTGCCACACCTGTGTGCAGCCAACACATTACGTTATATTTCCTGAATTAGTAAAGTAAAGTAAGTGAAGTTGTCCCTGTGCTTAACTAATTAAGCATTATCAGGGGAGTGGATGTATAGATCTGTATTTTCTTGATCTCGGCATTAGTTGGAGGTGAGGGGTCAGCTTCACGCCCCGGCCGCTTTACATCTGGGGAATGCGCCCCTGGCACCCACTGGATAGGAGGATGGGTGGATCCCAGAGCTGGTCTGCATGAAGAAAATTCTTGTCCTTACCAGGACTCAAACTCCGATCCCTCGGTCATCCAGCCTGCAGCCAATCGCTATACCAACTACGTTATCCCGGCTCTCACGTTTCCTGAACTAAGTGATAATAAATGTGACTTATTTAATTTTGACGAAAGAGAATCTGTGCCATTATGTGTGTATGCTGATATCTATATGCACACCCATTCTGCTTCAAGTTAGTTTGATCTGGCAGCCATTTCAAAGTTACTTCAACCCAACGTTAAAACAGTGCAAAATCATCTGCAACAAATACAAGTACAACATGGCACACTTCCAAGATATTCACTTCCTAATACTAAAAATGATATAGATAGATCCAAACAATATCAGAATTTTTAAGGGGTTCTCTTAGTACACTTACTGGCAACCATCTTTTTTACATGTAATTTTATTGGACCAGTTGCAATTTTTATAAATTGATGACCTCTCATATTTTGGTTTAAAAAGTAAGTAACGCTATCCCTGTAACAGGCCATGAAGGCCCATAGGGTTGTGAGACGTTGAGGGTCCCACATTATCTAGACAATCGACTCAAAGATGGTGGTAAGGTTGTCAGCCTTACGCGCCAGCCGCGCTTTACTCCCCAGGAAAATTATTTATTTAATTCCTGGTACTAATTTCTGTTAGAGGCTGAGTGAACCCCAGGGCCATAGTGTGGCCGAAGGATTAGGTCACCTGAAAAAAATCCAATGAGCCTATCGGTATTTGAACCCGCGACCTTCCGACTTGTAGCATAGTGCCTTAACCACTACTGTAAGGTGTGATTTAAATATATATAATTTAGTAAAATGACTCCCCACCATTCCTATTACTTATTTTCAAGTCTAAATGTAAGTGATGGGACCTTTAAACTTCGAAATGTTGTACAAGACTACAAAATTACTATTCATATGTATGTAAATGTTTTCAAGAACAGTACACTATCAAAACATAACCTAGGAATATACAAAACTGTGCTCCAGCTAGGGCTTCCAGCTACAGGATTCCTGGGGGCCTTACAATAACACTTCCTAGGTACTAAAACTCTGGTATCAAGTTCTGAGAACTCTTGTAGCAAAATATGTAGCATACTGAGAAACATTAAGCAAAGGCTGCCTGAATTGATTTATCATTTTGTGTAACAACACTGTCAATCATAGATGCTGTAAAGCATAAAATGAGAAACAGGAGGATGAAGTTGAATAGTAAGGAATTAAGAGAAATACTATGTCAGACTAGACAATCTCTGAACTTTAACAAAATTTCAACTTCAAGCTAATCTCAGTTTATTACAGTACATTCATAAATTCATGAAATGTTGTCTTTGCCGACAAGTGGCGGTCACTCAGATGGTATAGTTCGCTTGCGGACTACGGGCCATGGAGTTTTTTTTTAATATTTTATTGGATACTTCCCTCCCCAAAATTTCAAGGTAAAAAATTTGGGTGCCTGATTTATGAAAATTGTCTGCCACGAAATATATTATGTAGTTTAATTATCAGCAGTGTAAAGCATTTTATCCAAAATAGGTATAATCCATAAGAAATAACTTCTTGCGTATTTACTAACTCAAAACTCATCATATCAAGATCACAACACCTCATCTGTAACATTCACGTGGTTGCAGCAACACATGACAGGCAACATGACACAATGCAATGACAGAATACAATGTTTTCCCACTCTATTTCAATGTTCATTTTGGATCTTACACCTGCCGCTATGTCTGTCAGATTTTCAGACATTATTCACCAATGTCTTCTTTCATGCATGAAATAATAGGCCTAGAATATAAAAATAAATACATACTTCAATTCCTCAAGTCTAGTTACATGACCCCAAAACGTCTGTAACTAGAGGATATCCACTGGAGAAAATCTGAAATATTTGGTGACTAGCTATGACAAGGCTACGGATGCATAAACAGATGCTGTTGACAGTGAATGTGTTACAAGGATCAGGAAATATAACATATTACAACCAATGCTGACATTACATTTGCAAAGATCTGTCCTGTCTTGAAACTCTGAACTGAAATAAGACAAGCAGAGACAGTATAAAATATGTTCCAGAGTGTTTATTTTCAGGAATGTATAGAAGTATCAATCCACACAGGTTCACTTGTAAGGCCATCCTAAATACATAAATAAGGTGACCATATGGTTTCGTCCATTCGAGAATGTGTTAATACACACTGTTCCAAAATGAAACATACTAACCTTTCAGTTTTGAAGGAGAGAGAAGCCATGTTTGTGCCTAACATCATCACGTGCAGAATCTAGAAAACTATTTATTTCTTAAGAATTAAGATAAAGTTGGTACTGAATAATAGTTCAGTGAGTAGTATGGACTTCACCTGCACTATGATATTAAGTTCTGTTCATGTCATTAAAAACCTAAGACACATGAGAGCACCATAAAGCAGAAGCTGTAATGTGTGGACATGTCACTTCATACTGAAGCTGCTGTAGGGAAAATAATCAAAATCAGTGTGGTAATCCTGTGCATGAAAACTGTAGCAATTGGTTGGTAGAAATCAGACGTTTAGCTGCTGAATGCACTGAATTCCTGGATCATATGGCTGATATGATAAAAACAAAATTTTTGGAAAATCCACTTTCTACATCTTAACACTCCTAATGGAATTTTAACTCCAGCTGTCTAGCACATGGACAGTCACTTCACTGGGCTGTCATGACTCATAATCGAAATCCCTCTATGCATAGATGAACTACGTGATGAAACTGAGAGACTGTGCAACCCAACCATTGCTACAGTTTCTTCAGAACACTAAGAAATATTTGACATATAAGCAGAAGGAAAAAGACACTCTCAAGTTCAATGTTAAAATCATGTAGTCTCCTTAAACATAAATCAGAAACACTGTCTTTCATCCTGCAACATATATGTTAATAAAATCATATATTTATTTATTCTTTTTGCCTAAGAGAAGTTTTGTAATGCATAAGGTGCTTACCAGAGCCCACACATAGATTATGGTTACAAACTGCAATGGCATTCACTCTCTATCCTTCTGGTGAAGATGGCTGATCAAACCTATGTTTTCTACTTTCCAAACTTGGAAAGTCAAACTACTGAGATCACAAAATGTATTATTCACAAAATGTGAGACTACATGTAGGATCTAAGGTTTTCCCAGTGGTGGTTATGAGGAGTTCTGTCTTCTGGGATATAAATGCTGTGTAGTCCAATGAAAGTCAACTGACATTTCTGAGAAGATGTTGCCTCCATCTTCAGGGTTGAAGAGTAAACCAATCAAAAAAATAGTATGATGCAGGCAGCAAGCAAAAGCTGCTGGTTTCTCGCTTGGATCTTATCTAATGGGCATAGGATTTCCTTTCCCAGAAGTAAAGTGGTTGAGGCATGATGCTGCCCATTCAATGTTGTTTACAATGTATGGAGAAATACCTCCACTGTCCCATATTTCCATCACAAGCAGAGGACTTCTTGCAGAAATGCAACTGGAGCCACAAAAATGTAACATTACAAAAGAAATCAATAAGCAATATACTGATGAATTATAACCATAATAATCCTTTAGAACCTTCTTGTTATTCATTTGCATCCTCTGATGAACTGCATTCAGACTAGTCTGTACGGTATAGAAACTCAGGACTATAGAATTTCATTAACTTTAATACTCGAACCTTGAAAAGCTCCACGCATTCTAAATCTCAGCATATGAAAGTGGACAGTAGTTTCACCCTTAAAAGAAATACATGTGTTATTCATGGCACAGGAGGCTAGGTAGGCCTCGATTCTTTTATAGATGTGCTGCTTCTCTGTACAGAATCAAGCCATCATCCAGTCAATACCCAGTCTAGTTATCATGCACAGAAAGTTAATACTGAGTGCAGTTCTATGTTTGATGGTGTAAGAGTCACAACCCTTATACTGACACACATAAAATAATGTAAGACTATGAAAATACATCAACAACAGAAGAAATAAAGGACTGAACCAATGCCAGTGCAACTTATAAACAATTTTAGATACTGCCGTAAGTCTTCTTATTTGTTTGCAAATCAACCAAACACACACTGAACTAAGCTTTACATCTCCAATAAGCTATAGTATCACTAATGAAAATTTATATATGAAGTATATTTCATTCTTTCAATCATTCTACTATATTCTGTCCCTTTGAAATTGTACTAAAGGTTTCATATAAGTTAACTATTATCTCTAGTTCAGTGCAATATTTGGAAGGATTCCAGTATACACAATATCAATGTGTCACTTTATGTACTCTGCCCCAAAATAATACAATAATTATTAAAAATATGTTCACTACATAAAGAAGTATGGGACAAAGATAAAATGCACCACTAATATTCAATTTTCCATTCATATGTAACTTCCAAATGTTCTGTCCAAAACTCATATATGCTGGCACAAAAAAGAAGAAGAAAAAAAGAAAAATGATTTCCTTATATTTTCAGTCAAGAAGTAGAATTTGATTTGTATACTGACAACTGTGAACTTTATCCTTGGTCCTAGGTGTGACCAGTGTGTTCAATATTAATGGTTCTTTAACAGCACAAGAAATCACAGTGTACTTGCTGCAATGTTAACAAAGGTCCGGTGACAGAGTCTCACAATACTCGTGCTGTTTGTTCAGTAAGACTTAACAGATATTGGAGAGCTGTAAGCAATCTTCAAATCTTGGGTTCCTTCAGTTTAATACAAAAACAAGAGAACGGAAAACTTGTATTTCCATTTTCAATAATGATGCAGTATGTCCCTGTGGAATGAACACTGGCAATGACTGACAACAAGTGATCATGAGTTATAGGAACTGAAGGTACAGTGGTGTAGTCTACTTAAAAGGTAATATCTGAGCGTCTGGTTATTGAAGTGACTAATCAAGCTAATCACATACGGATACAAGTCACAACAGACGATTCAAGATTTACCTCTTTTCACAACACCAGGCTTTCAAAAATGCAAGACCACTTCATTAAATGAATGGAAACAAGCCAACAAACTCTACAGTTATCAGTCAAGAAAAACAATTGGTAAGAAAATGTACAAAATACTGCATGCTGATCGTCTGTGCTGACTAGTGCCCATGTATCACCATCTTCTTCATGGAAATGTTTTGGTTAACTTTATAAACAAAACATTTCTATATAGCTGAACTGAGAGAAGACACTCCTGCTATACCATGAACAGACCAAGTTTTTATGGTATGTGGCCACTCTCATGATGTTCTAACCTGTTCTGTATGGATGGGAAGCAGGTGGGTTGTGGGTAATGATTCCACCAAATCTTGATGTTAATGAATGTAGACAAGTGTCATCAAGGTTGGTTCATGGTGAATGCTGTAGCTCCATTATTGGCCATTGCATCCAGGACTTCACTCACATACTGGGCCACATCCACGTTTGCCTCGTCGCTTGAACGGATAAATTTGTCCTCCAGCAGTTTGTTGTACTTTGGTCTCTGGGTTTCCTCCTTGATCAGGCTACAGGATCAGAAGAAGTTTTATATTTCCATTACCCACAAATCAGCGCCAAAACATACAGCGGAGAAAATGTTGTAACTGGATACAGTAGGAACCCCAGGTCTATGTCTAGAATCCATTGTTTGTTTGGCAATATGACACAACAAAAAACAAAGACAAGAAACTAATCTGTTATGCCACAAATTTGAGTATTAGCGGAAGAACTAGTGAGGGAGAGAGAGAGGACATGTGCACATGGGGATAAAATAATGAATTGATGTCAAAATTAAAATTGTATTTCAGTGTCATGTTGCACTGACGTATCACTTTACACACTGACTTCCATCTTTAATGCAACTTTACATACACACACTAAAAATTAAAATACAACACTATTCTGAAAAACTCACCAAGTATTCACAAAGTTAACAAATTCAGTACTGAAACGATTTCCGTTCTCGTTTGGGGAAAGTCGTGGAGGATCTCCCTGCACAACTTGACAAAGCTGCTCAAATACTGAGTTCCACTTTGGGTATGGGAAGTATCCCGTTGCCACTTCCATCAGGGTGATACCCAGCGACCACACGTCAGATCGAACATCATAACCACGCGCTCGCTGTGGGTCTATCCTTTCAGGCTGAAAGCAACCATTCATGTCATGTCATAATAAATGCAAGGATATCACCAACTAAAAATTAAAAATAAAAAACAAATGTATTTATTATTGAAAAACAAAACCACCAATGATCTGTTCACTCATCTGTCACCTGATGCTGACATAATGACCCTGTGTGTGGTCCAATTACCAATGGACTTAGTCTCACCCCATGGCAACCCTTAAGTCACTTCCCAAACAAGAGGTACAGCTCTGTTAATGAGTTGCTACAGCTTGGTTAGAACAAATATACACACCACACTTACATTTTTATGTTCTGGTTCAAAATATACACATAGCTGTGTAAAGAAATTGCATAGAGTTTATATTAAAACCAAGTGTTACCATACCCCACTCACAGTATGGAATGGGAAAGTACCTGCATCCTTTCTGTTTCTTCTTCCAATTACAGATGTCACGATTTATACTTCTCCATTTCCATTCACCTTTTAAGCAATAAGACATAATGACAATCACATTACTTCTATCATTTATCAAATTCTCATCTGACTGCAGCTACTTACGGCCATGTAAGGACGGCAGCCCGCGTCACGTGTGCGAGCTATGCTATCCACTAGCTGGCCAGAGATACCGAAGTCGCACAGCTTAATGTTGCCTCGTTTGTCTAGCAGAATGTTGCTTGGTTTCACATCTCGATGAATGATCTTCAGTTCTTCTTTCAAATAATTCAAAGCCTTCACAGTCTGCAAGCAATGAAACCATTAAACTGCCACATGCAGATAATTTGTTTAGTGATACAAAAAGTAACCTAACTGAAATTTAAATTATACAAAAAGAAACTAATTAGTTTTCTTTCACAGTGGGAGGGGGTGGGGGTTGCTTTTTTCTCCTCTTGGAGCACAGGGCTGATTTCTTAGTTTATTGATCATTTTACAGATGGTAGGACTCCTTGGATGGATGACCAGCTCGTTGCAAGGCCTCTACTTAAACACAGGACAACACAAACACAGAAAAATGTGCGCACGCACACACACCAAACATCCATGCCCTGACTGGGGTTCAAACCCATGATCCCAGCTTCCGAGTGAGTGAAGACAGTGCATGTCTCAGACTGCTCAGCTACCGTGAATGGCTCTCGGGTGTGGCATAGTCCCTGACAAATAAGTTTCTTTCTAGCCAGGGTTTTAATCCTGAAGCCACTGTACAGAAATAAAGCAACAGCATATATTTTGTGACAAACTGCACCACTATACTAAACTGGTTGTGGGACTGTCATGTTACTTGCATACTCCAAAAGAAATATGCAACTGTTATTATTTATTATTATTATTATTATTATTATTAGAGGGGGTGGGTTTCCCCATGCACTTAGACCAGTTATTGGTCCATTGTGTGTCCCCCTTTAATTTCTACTGTCTCCATACCCTACCGGTACTGGTGCGTGCTATCAGCCCCGTTCAGCCAACGAGGTCGGCCCTCGATACCTGATATTTCCCCCCGTCTACCAGAGGCATTGGAAACTACTTGGGCAGGAAATGTGTTAACTAATTTTGCTCAGAGGTCTCCTAGAGACATGAGGATCTTTTACGTGCCATAAATTTATGACACAGGACCCACGGCTTAAAGTCCCTCCCGGAGGACTTGTTCCCTGAATTTTTCCGCCCTTAAAAATTCCATGACCTCTGCCAGGTTTGAACCTGCGTACCTTGAGTCATGAGGTGGGAACGTTACCCCTAGACTACGGAGTCCGCTTCAATATGCAACTGTTTCACAATGGCGAGGTGACTATACCAAATTCCGTGGCATACTGGTTACCTAACAATCTCAGGTCTGGTGTACTAATTTCTGTGCAACTACACTTGTCGTCTGACAGTGACATGTCAGATAGATCTGTTTACAAAATAATTCTCAAAAGAATGATAAAGGTGGGGATGTATGTGACTACAGCACAAAAAAATAACAATTGTGAACACGGCAGAAGTGTGCTTATGACTGCTAAAACAACATTACACTCCCGTGAGATAAACACAAGGTAACAGTTTTTGATCTCACACATATTTTGAGTTATGTTGGATAAAAATAATTTAGTATTTTATAAAAATATAAAATGATTCTCAGAGGAAAAATCTGGAGCAATCCATACTACAAGCACTACATACAATATCAAATGACTGGATGAAAATAAATAATGAATTGGACAGGAATGTGGAAGGAAGTGGTAATGATATACTTTTAAGGTACCACTCTGAGATTTCCCTGGAAGGACTGAGGAAAACCGGGATAGCCAAGTGTACTGGCCAAACTTGGTCTAGTATTTTCCAAGATTCGAAAGAGTTTCGGTTATTTTGCTTCACTGTGGTGAAATGAAGCTAGAAAAACTAATACCATTTTGTAAAGCATACAACTGAACAACTATTTCAAAATAGAGACAGTTATGAATGTGTTTATCTATATTAAAAGTATGGAATGTCACTAAAAGCGTAAATTTTGTTGGGACTGAAGCTACTGAAGCTACACAAATTTTGGGAGTTTCATTCTGTACAGAGGAAATAATGTCTCTGAATAACTTATCAATACATTACGTATTTCTTACATCACCTCAAGTTTGCAACAGGATCAGAAAGGCCTATTATCAAATGTGAGTGTACACTGTGAGAGTTGTGGGTTCTCACAGCAGTAACTAAGCAGATTATGAAGCACTTGATATCGTGTAGTCTGATATTTTGAAGGAATATACTACATCCATCTTCAGGGTCCAGGAGTAGGCCCGCAAACAAGCAGCAACACACCAGAGCTTGCTACTTGCCTGTTTGCTGACTGGGCTTACTTTTCAACTCTGAGTAAGACAGTACACTCCTGCAAACTGTCTGTAAACGTCTAGAGAAGTACATGGCTTCACATCCCAGGAGATAGTACTTTGCCATCATCTTCATGAATTAGGCCATACTGGTCTGTTCCATCCTTTTGAAGAGCATGTTGGTCCCTCACAGATAATATTCTTGATTGCAAACTGTCTATGCACCCAATCTGTAATCTGCAATGCACATGGGTGGCTTGCAATATCTCAATGTCTATTGCAATGCTGCTGTCCAGAGTCCAATAGTCTTATATAATGCTGGTTATGCCATAAAAGGCTCTCAACAATGAAATAATTTTGTTGATGCTTTCAAGGGAACTTTCTTTGTTAAGCTATCTAAATTATATCCACCCCTTCAAAAACAGGTTAAGGATTACTTTACTTGTTTATTTACTTACGGCTACTGTAATTTTTCCTAATATACTTTCAGGTATCCTCTTTTGTAATTTCTCGTAGATAAACTTATAAAATTTATCTAAGGATGTATCCATAAGTTCCATACATATCCAACAGTCTCCCTGCAGGAAAAAGAAACACATAATCAGCACAAACAGAAACATCTGTAATAAAGCACTGACTTTATTAACTTACTTTTATTATTTCAGAAAACATAATCCTCAATATAGAGTTAAAATATATGAATCGTTTGACACTGCTAATGGATACCAATAAGTGTTTCACTCTTAGTTTATATGAATGCAACATCAAGTGCCACTTCAAACTATCAGCAATGTCACTCCATAAGTTACATAGCATAAGGCAGAAATGGTTTAGTAAAGTAAAGATGAAGTTGTCCCTGCACTTAATTAATTAAACACCATGCCATGATGACATAAGGATATGGGGAGTTGAGGTATAACTCCACCATTCCCGATCTTGTCACTAGATTGAGGTGAGTGGGCAGCTTCATACAGTGGCCAATTTATTTCTGGTGACAGACTTCCAGGTACCAATTAGTAAGAGGCTACACAGGCCCCAGAGCCAGTCCAGACACTGTGGAGAATAGAAAGATCTCTTGCCTCTGCCAGGAATCGAACCTCAGACATCCAGCCCATAGCCCATCACTATACCAAAAGAGCTATCTTGGTTCCTGTGCGATAGAACCTGGTAATGAATTTGGAAGAATTAGAGATTAGTGGTAATACCAAGGGGAATGCGACAAAACAGCCTTTGCTGATTCATCATCATCTGTTTGTCAAATATATTTAATTTCATAACATACTCAACTGAAGATTATATAACATCAAATGAAAATAACAAACTGTAAATTGGCCACAGCACCTGAATTTGTTTGAGGGGAATGACAAAAATCCACAGACTATTCTGGCATGTAGATGCACTGCTAGGCAATGACCATGAAATATGCAAAAATACAAAAGCTGTTGTTAAATAACAACTCTGCAAACAAGCATGCCTCCATAGCAACAAGAGAGTACAGCAATAATGGAAGCAGTGTACTATAATTTTGCCTGTGGTTATGTATGGGTGTGAAACTTTTTTTTTTTGACATTACGGTAGGAACATAGACTGAGGGTGTTTGAGAACAAGGTGTTGAGGAGAATATTTGGACCAAAGATGGATGAAGTGACAGAATGTTGGAGAAAACTGCTTCATAACTTGTACACTTCTCCAAGTATAATTATAATGATTAAGTCAAAGAGTGTGAGATTGGCAGAGCATGTAGCACGGATGAAGAGAAGAGGAATGCATATAGGATACTGGTGAGAAAGCCAGAAGGAAAGAGACCACTGGGAAGACGAAGACATAGGTGGGTGGACAATATTAAAACGGATCTTAACAGAGATAGAATGGGATGGTACGGATTGGATTGATCTTGCTCACAATAGGGATCAGTGGAAGGCTCTTGTAAACACAGTAATGAACCTTTGGGTTCCATAAAATGCTGGGAAATTCTTGAGTAGTTTGGGCTCAGCTCCATGACTGAGTGAGTGTGATCAATTGGAGGAATGAGAATTGGCAGAGGAAACTGAAGTCCTTGTATAAAACCTGCCCCAGGGCCACTGTCCACAACAAATCTCACATGACCTGACAAGGGCTCAAACCCGGGCCATTGCAATGGGAAGCTGGCAACTAACCACCTGAGACATGGCACGGCCCCTGTTGAGTGAGTTAGTGAGTTAATTAGAGAACTGCTGTGGTTCAGTTGTAAGCTGTTGCTGTTAGAAGCTGGCAGCTGAGGCCAGCGATAGTTCGGGAACCCAGAGGAAGGGGGTCTGCTGTTAGAAACCACTACCAAGCAACAGGAAGTAAAGACTGTAACAGTCTGAGAAGACCTAGTGTGTCCTATAGTGATCTGTGAAGCGTACGTAATAATGAGCTGTATGAGAGTGCAATAAATCTGATTACCAATCCAAACCCTGTGTATAGTCATACACATGACAATATCCTTCATTCCAGCATCATCACATGTTAAATTTACTATTTCATTAAATGAAAATGCTTGTTTTGTGCTTTATGACACTGTTAGTACCTAGACTACACAGTGTCAGATGGCAGGACAACTGGTGAATGATGAATTGAAAAGGATCTGGAGAAAAGTGGTTATCACCTAACTGAGGTAATATACTGGCATTTGCTCAAAGGGACTGAGGAATATTACAAAACATTTCAGACCGTACGGCAGTCTTGAACACAGCAGAGGGTGATAGCTCTACACTAAACTGCTCAGTGTAACGGTAGTCGAGTGCAGAGGTTAGGTTGCATACCATGATACAGTTATTCTAAATTACTGTCAAGGCTTGTGGCCTATGAATGGAAAACCTGACAATAATTTAGAATCACCCTGTATATGAAATGATATATATGATTATGAATTCTGAATTAGGAGGCTTTATGAGAAATAGTCATGGTACATGGGACATCGAAGCAATGAGGAAATCAATAAAAAATATCAGCCAGGGATAGATTCAGGATATAATTCAAAAGTTATTACAGATGAACAAAAATATCTTGTATATCTAAGATAAATGAGCTGATTATAGCAGCATACCTCCTTGAAGAGAGCACCATAAAACTGGACAATACAAGGACACTCATTTGATTTCATTACAACCTCCAAGTCCATCAATAGCTGCTTCTGTTCTTTCTCGTCAACTGTTGATCGAATCCTCTGTAAACAAATCGACATTATTTAATGTTCTCTGCCTTATGAGGCTAATTGGTTGGTTGGTTAATAGGTGACATCAGTGTCACCATAAGTTAAGCATCTTACTGTCAAATTCATGCTCTTAAATAGAGAAGAGAGTTTAAGTGTAAGAGTTACAGGGAACAAATATTTACGATTTAAAATATGCACCAAAGAGGCACTATGTTACAAGCTGGAAGGTCGCCGGTTCAAGTCCCGATGAGGTCATTGGATTTTTTTTCAACTGACCTAATCCTTCCAGCTGCACTATGGCCCTGGGGTATACTCAGCTTCTAACAGAAATGAGTACCAGCAATTAATTAAATAATCTTCCTGGGGAGTAAAGTGTGGCCGGCACGTAAGGCTGACAACCTTACCACCATCTTTGAGCTGATTGTCTAGATAATGTGGAACCCTCAATGTCTCACAATCCTATGGGTCTTCATGGCCTGGTACAGGGATAGCTTTACTTTTACTTTACCAAAATCAGGAAAAATGTTTCTGGATAGAAATTTGATACAGATGCAATTGACAATTGACAATACCTTTCAGTGCTGCTGCAAATGTAGTGGGTTCACTTCTATCATCACGATCCTCAGTGCCATCAGACACAAACGAGTGCACCAAACTTTTATACAACACCCAGGCCATGAACTGCATATGCCTGGCTGCTTTCATTATCACATGCCTCAAAACTGGGTCTCGTATAAGTATATTCTGATCCACATCAGATTAAAAAATAACGTATCGTGGAGCGTCTTCTTCATCAACTGTTTCTGTAGTGATGCTTGAATAGCCACGATAGGCAATACCAAAGATGCAAATTCTGCACACAGCAAAATCTTGCTATTTTTGGTACCCATCTGTGAGTCAAGTGGCCTCAAAATCTGCAAATATGGTACATTGCCACACTGTCTCATAACCCATTACAAATGATGATCCACCAGACTACATGGCATCACAACACAGAAGAGAGTAATCTTCATAGTCACCTGTGTGATAACCTCAAATCTAGCATGGCCTCAGTAAACCATACGCTTCTATATGCCGTACATTTTGTTGATAACTTCCAGACATTTTGACAGAATAATGGAATCTCTGCTTCTAACATTTTCTCATTACCAGTGATGGAATCTACATTATGAACGGTATCAAAATCTCAAATCTCTTCAGTGGTCAAAATATGCTAGTTCCATCAGCACTGAATGCCAGTAAGACCAATACCATTCCTTTGAACTTTTTTCATGGAAAGACTTCACGAGTCTCACAGTCTCAAGTTTTCAGCCATTTCATATACATCCCTGTAGTCATAACTGTCAACAATTATGGAGTCTTTATGGTTCAGCTCTCAATCTCTTTGGACAGTTTCTGTTTGCCACATCTCTACTGTCATGGGATCAATGCTCCCAGCAGGACTTCATAAAATATACAATGACACTCTTTCAACCTCTTGACCCATACATCAGAATCTCTGAAATTCTCTGCACCTCTCAACATCACAGTAATACACACAGCCTTGTCTTTCAACATTGTCCCAGTACTAACATACTGCTGGCTCTTGTGTGTTTGAACTACGCCATTAAAAAATGCTCTTGTTCTGATAAAGGTGATTATTTCAAGCAACTTTGGTTCTTAGAAAGCTTCCACATTAAGCACAGTTAATGGTGCATGTTTCTATCATCGCATATATATGAATTAAAACAAAAACTAAAATATAACATTTTATTTTCTCCAAATCACTCATCTCCACTGCAGAAATGATGGTAGCCTGCACTAATGTACTATCAGATCATTTCATCTGTATATTCTGCTCACTGTTTCCATAAACAACATTCTTAAGTTACTGTTTGGTGTAGTAATTATGGCCAGCTGTTGGCTAATTGCATTTCCCTATGCTGGAGGTTGCTCTGTCATCCATTCCTCCCCATGCACATTACCATACTCACCGACTGGTACATAGCAACACAAATGGGGCTCCGAGAAACTAAACAATGCAGTAAAAATCTGAACATAAGATTAAGGATTAAGGTAGATCTATCTGGCCTGAAACCCATTTGAACATCACTTAGTTTTTCTGGTACTATTTCAGATGACCGATTATTTAATAAGATTGCAAATATTTTATAAGCTAATGTTATATTTTAGCGTCCTGTTGCACTGATTTAAGTCCATGATTTATTTAATCCGTCTTGCAGTGCATACACTCATTTATTTCCTTCTCTCCCTCGCACTACATGTTTCGGCATAATAACACACGCAGTCGCAGGAGCACGACACAACAAAAGCACAACACACAAGATAGTGAAGGAGTGCTCCAACAAAGGAGAATGGGCGTGACTGACGTAGTGAGGGGCGACGTAGCGATGTGGTATCCTGAACAATTTTAATATTTTTAACGTTTGACAATGTATATGATAGATACATATTTTAGTTATTTTAATGTGTGAACATGGCATGCAATGAACTGGTTTGACGTGGATAAGTAAGCACCTGAAGATGGCATTATTATGCCGAAACATGTAGTGCGAGGGAGAGAAGGAAATAAATGAGTGTATGCACTGCAAGACGGATTAAATAAATCATGGATTTTATAAGCTATATTTAGAAGGGTTATTAGCTGATGGTTGGAGCATTCTGTATGGTCTCATTTCTTATATATTGCGCAGATAATTCCTTCCATCCAATCTTTAGGTAATTCTTCTTATTCCATATTAACAGAATTACATTGTACAGTCTTTGCTTCAGTGTACTTCCTCCATGTACCTCTATAAGTTTAGAAGTTTTAAAATACACTACGTGTTTCGGCCAATATGGCCATCATCAGGTGTTAAAAATTTATGAACAGGACATGCAGCAACAAACACAACAAGGAGCAGAACACACCAACTACAACATACATACACATTGGAGGGACCTGCATATGTATCAGCAGCAACAAAAGAAAGCAGCGAGTTCCTCATTAGGCATATTTTTAACAATGTTGTATTTTAGCGTCCTACTGCACTGATTCTCGTCCATGATATGTATGTATTGACCGTCTTCTAGTGCATACAATCTCACATGTCACTTCACTACATGTTTCTGCATCACTGTGCCATCTTCAGGTGTGTTATTTACATTAAACTACTGCACTGCTCGCCATCATGTGTCGTTTATAAAATGATTTAAAATGTATATTCTTCATGTATTATAATAAAATTTGTTAAAATTTATCATCCTATACATCTTATTTCAAACTCGTGTATTATATTATTCTTCCACTATGGGAGCCGTTTTTCCTATATTTTGTGTACACTGTGTCTTGTGATGTGTCCTTCTTTGGCTGCATGCGTTTTAATCATTTTATAAACGACACATGATGGCGAGCAGTGCAGTAGTTTAATGTAAATAACACACCTGAAGATGGCATAGTGATGCCGAAACATGTGGTGAAGTGACATGTGAGATTGTGTGCACTAGAAGACGGTCCACACATACATATTTTTAACACCTGATGATGGCCATATTGGCCGAAACATGTAGTGTACTTTAAAACTTGTAAAGGTGATAAGTTTTGTGTGTTGCACGTAAGATGGTGAATGATCAATGCAAGTGAAAAGTGCAAAAGGATACAATATGTCAAAACACAAACTGAAGGAAAATTAAACTTATGTCTTATGGCACTTCCAGAATCAAACACACGGAATAACAAAAGATAAAAAAAATCAGTGATCATAACATGAAAGTGCACTTCTGTCACACCAAAGTTTGCCAAGCAAGAAGTACCTTCCTACCTTGACAGCCATAACTGTACTGCTCCGCCTATGTACCATCTTGTTAACAGTTCCAAAAGCTCCTCTTCCTATCTCACCCAAGTCTTGAAGGTCATCTGACGTGAAGTCGTAAACCTGCACATAATATCAGTTAACCCTTTTAGGCATGAAATTCATTTAAACAATATTTAAAAATTCAGTTCCTACCTCACAGAATAGACACTCTGACCCTCATTTTAAGAAAAACAACTTGTTAAAGAAGAAAGCAGTCTTCAGTGATGTGGCACCATGTAGATGTGGTGTTAACCGACGTTTCAGAAGAATGTATCGCCTCCATCTTCAGGGTAGAAGGAAAAATAAGAAATCCGCAAGCAAAGAGACTGAGAACAGTCTCTTCACTTGCAGATTTCTTATTTTTCCTTCTACACTGAAGATGGAGGCGATACATTCCTCCGAAACGTCGGTTAACACCACATCTACACAGTGCCACATCCCAGAAGACTGCTTTCTTCATAGTCACCGCTGTGAAAACCTCAAACCTTGTTAATGTTTACAGAAGTAACTGTCATTTAATCTGAGAATTATACAAAACATAAAACAAATTCTGTGGTGAAAATGCGGAATTCTTCAATGTTTATAGCAAGCTGCCATATATGTACTTACTGCTCTGCATTAAAGGGATGAAAAGATACTCAATTCAACAAAGTCTTTATATATTTCATTTCAATTATCTCATCCCATGACCACCTCCAAACATAAGCCAATTTTTGACTAGATCCAGGCACAAACCTTGGGTCTAGTCTTGTAACTACATACAAACAATTATAATATTTTGAAGATAATATCATTATTACAGCCCATCACAGTGGCCCTGTGGTTCAAGGGGAGCGAAATGTCTTCACCCATTCAAACACTGGGATTGTGGATCCAAATCACACTTGAGGCATGGATCTGTCTGCATTATTCTATGTTTGTGTTGTCTTACATAGGTAGTGGCCTTGCAATACGCTACCCCTCCCCATCCGAGGAGCCCTACCAACTATCTGTAACATTCATAATTTCAGATTTAACTTTGAATGGGAACATGACAGAGAGCCTAATCCATCAAAGTAACAATAAAGTAACAGATGCAATATCTGGCAATGGCTGATCTGAAAAGCTCTATTAATTGAAAACCGACTAATTGACTAATGATTAAGAGTAAAATATTGGTGTCTAGTTTGTTTTAAGATTATACATACACAACGCTGAGTAAGAAGCGATGGAAAGGGAATAGAAAGTGCGGCAAGGAACACAGCACAAGATACCAAGCAACAAATTAAATGGCTAGGTCTGTGCATGAGGTTGATAGGTACACTAAGATACAAGTCACTTATAACGTTCTAATCTCTGGAAAATTATTATATCCAGCAACCCACTGGTCCCAGAGGTGCAAGATATCACAAATCTTTCTGTATTTCCTTTTATCATGTCCAAAATGGCACTATGTCCCTTCACATCTCTCATTAAGTGAAAGATGTGAGACAAAATGACTAGCAGCAGAAGCATGTTGGGGACCCCTACTGTCCTCATCTTCACAGTGAAGTGATTTGGTCACTGAGCCCACAACCTAGTTGCTATACTGACTTTCACCAAACTACATGGCAATATTTCCAAGAAGACAGAACTCTTCAGTGGACTGCATGGGTCTCAGAAAAATTCTGTAATGACAAAATTCCTAACACACCTGCCAGGTATCAAACCCTGACAATCAAACTGATAACTAAAGTCATGGAACAGAATTTTTGTTGAGAAACTAACATTCACTCAGATGGTAAGATAATTCTCCCACACTTCATGGAATCTGTGACCATGTTCACAAGAACAAACTAAAAGCTCTGGATGACATTTCATACATTAATTTCTAACTCTCAAACTGGAGAACCACCCCTTGTCAGATGTCAGAAACTGCTCATTCAACATATTTGCAGCTATACACTGTATCCGAAGGCCAGTCGGTCAAGAGCCTGGTATTAAGTAAGCTATCAATGTTCCGTTTATTTTAGAAGACAACATACATGCAAACAAAGTTAACGTGCATAAGCTATAATTCCAAAGTAATGTTAAGTAACTTACCAATTCTGGTGATACCTGTAACTTGCCTGTGGACTGGATGCTCTGACACATTCGTAACCTGTCTCTGGAATTGAAAAAGAATTAAATGATGCATGAATAAGAGTGCACTACTAATTAGCACAAAAAATAACAAAATACACACCGTGATCTGTCGGGTACAAAATCCTGGTTGAACGGACGGATACGAGGTGGGCACCCTGTCCTTATCCGAACTGGGCTTGAGTTGAGCTGCTCATCGTGAGTTGAGTTGGAGGAAGGTTGTGACTGTCGACATCTGGAATGTGTAAGACCGAAGTACCTTAACCCCAAATCTTTAATTATTTCCATACAACAATGCTAAATTAAATGCAATGAATACTTAGGTTGTAAAGTGTAGAAAAGCTTTTCCATAGTACCTTCTACTCATTCTGTCTTCTCATGTCAACGGATGAGGATTATAAGTAGCCTGTGATGGTGCTGTGTCCTGCTCTGTTGTTATAATGTTTAGCTGACAGGAGGATTACACTTGCATATAAGAAAGGCACTTTAGTCAACCACAAAGCCACTGACCTGCCTAGGAACTTGTAAAATTGTAAATCATTTTCAATATGTATGCGATTCTTTTCTGGTGTAATTTTTGTATAGGTTTTGATCCCAGTCAATATTAGTAATGGGCTACTGGCTGGATGGCTGGGGTTTGATGCCTAGCAAGGGCAAGAGATTTTTCTCTACTCCACAGCATTCAGACCAGCTCTGAGGGCCACCCAGCCTCCTATACAATGCATGCCAGGGGCTCTTTCCTTGGGGGTAATGTGACCGGTGCACGAAGCTGACTGCTCATCTCCATCTAGTGCTGAGGTCAAGAATGGTGGAGTCAAACCTTCACTCCCCCATACATCTTCATGACATTGTGCTTAATTAACTATTCATAAAAAAAGTTTACCTTCTGTTTTGTTAGGAGGATTACTTTCTGTAGGATGATGACATGAACATCAGTAGGACTGCAGAAACCAGTACAGAAAATGTCAAACCTTCTGCCAAAGACAGTCTGGGCTACTACAACTTGAAGTACAATAAATCATACCTTATGAAAAGTGGTCAGAATATTAGATGAATGGAAACTGTAATGGTTCAAAATCCAAATAAAATAAATCAAGATAGTCTGAAACAATATAGCTGGAAAACCTGACAGGGGGAGAAAACTTTGAAGATGGCTGCATAGTTGAAAGAATATTGTGATGTGTTGCGCTATGGACGATTCCCCTCCCTCCCCGCCAGCCGTGACGTGCTGAGCGGAGCCGAACTGAGCCGAGTCCCAGCACGCTGGGCGCTATGCAAAGCGAGTAAACACTGGTTGCTAGGCAAAGCGAGTAAACAGGGATGACGTAACACAGGACGCCACAGTTGCTATGTAGCCATATTAAAATGGCTGGCACTGAGGTCATCACAGCAATGACTACTAGGAGTGTTACCTTCTGGGACATATGTGTAGTCTATGTAGTCTGGTTGAACTCCTAACAGCGTATATACCATTATATTCCACAAATCAGTACTCTTAACATTAAATTTGAACTTAAGGGCATAAAAAGGGGTGAGGGTACAGGTTGGATTCAAATGATCCAGTGGAGAGAATTTTGTAAACATGCAATGAACCTTTGGGTTTGGTACAAGTCAGGTTATTTACTGATCAGATGGTGCAAGACAATGAGATTCTTAAGGACTGTGCTCCAAGGAGTTGGTTAACAGCAAATAAGACAGCTCAGTCAGTAAAGTAACTAGCTACAGGTGAGACAACTTGCATTCAATTCTCGGTAAGGAATGTGATTTTTTATTCCGATCAGTCTGACAACTTTTCAGCACTCTGGATGTATTTTCTTGTGCACATGCTGGGTCATTATTCATTTATATAATATGACTCATCTGCAATTATGAATGTTTGCCTGATATACAGTTGTTCCCTGTTTGGTTATAAAAAGATTATGAAAAATGGTACTATACCAAGGACTGAAAACAGAGAGGCTTTTATTGTTATAATTAAAACTGGCACACTGAGTTATATGTAGCATAGTTGCTTGAGGCACTATGCTACAAGCTGGAAGGTCGCAGGATCGAATCCTGATAAGGTGGAATTTTTCAGTTTACCTAATCCTTCCAGCCACACTATGGCCCTGGGGTCAACTCAGCCTCTAACAGAAATGAGTACCAGGAATATTCCTGGGGGTAAAGGGCGGCCGGTGTTTAAGGCTGACAACCTCACCCTCATCTGTCAGCCGACTGTCTAGAAAATGTGAGCTTCAACATCTCACAACCCTATGGGCTTCCAAGGCCTGTTACAGGCCTGTTTACCTTTTTTACCTTTTACACTGAGTTATATAATTTAGATTCTTCATCTAATATTGATGCAAAGTTGGGGATGGGAAGATCATACAGCATATACCTTGGTTGAGAAGCCTTGTGGAATGTGACCAGCCATGATGCTTTTTGAATACAGGCTACAGATAAATACATTAACATAACATTCATTAGATATTAAATGTTAGGATACAAAATTTTTAGAATCCTTTAGAATATTAGAAAAAACCTGAGCTTTTATTAGCAGTCAAGTTTTAAAATGTGGCCTTTTGGGTTATGGCATTATATGGTCCACGTCTGGGATACAAGATCCTACCCTGATAAAGGGAGTAACATATTTCTCCAAAATGCTGAGGACCACCTACAAGACCACACTGCGTAATAAGCAAGAAGACCACAATCTAAACATTAAAAACATTCTTCTATTATTCACAGATTATAACATCCCATAGCGGCACATGGTAATATAGTTGGCTGAGGCACTATGTTACAAGCCAGAAGGATGTGGGGTTGATTCCCGATGATGTCAATGGATTCTTTCAATTTATCTAATCCTTCCAGACGCTTTGGCCCTGGGGTGAACTCAGCTTCTTAACAGCAATGGGTACCAGGAATATTCCTGGGAGGTAGAGGGTGGCTGGCATGTAAGGCTGACAACCTTACTGCCATCTTTACGCTGACTGTCTAGTAGATGTGGGAGCCTCGACATCTCACAACTCTATGGGCTATCATGGCCTGTTACAGGGATACCTTTACCTTATAACATTCTATATCAATTCCACAAAAGTTTGCATATTTCTAATTTCCCCCAACATACACAAATCGTCTGGTGATACAGAAGGGGCTTCAGTTACAAATGTAATCAACTCACACTGGAGGCTGATACGAAGTAGTACCACCGCTGCCTCCAATCGTGAAGTTACCAGGCGTGAAGCTCAGCTTCAACTGTCTACGTCTTTCAGCTGAAACACACAGTAATTACATCACATTGTAATTAATGGAAGTTATTCAAACTACATGTCCTCTACAACTTGCCAATATATTCAGAAACCACAACAAAAGAAAACAACATATTAGCCTGATTTTAACTTTCATACCTGATTTAACAATTATGTATCAAGTGTACAGGTTACTGAGCATGGAATGGGAAATTATATATTTACAAATTAGCTGTAAAGTCTGGATTGAAGGGAATTTAAAGACTTGCTGGTGAAGACAACAGTTCATGGAAATTACTGGAAGTGACAGCAGAATACTGTGTTGTGATGTTACAGCATTTAGCAAGATGAAAGAAAATCAATGGCTTGATGTCAAGAGGAAAGTGAAAACCTGATATACTTTGCAAAAACAAAAAGTGTTACTTTAACATGGATATGCTTTTGTACATAGTTTGATTCCTGGCAAGCTCCTGAAAACAAACAATACACAGGCTCACCACCACACTGAGGCCACACATGCCTTCATCAACAACATACAGGGAAATATTACTGATTTTCTCCCGTACTGACACACAAAACAAAACTATGTACATTTATGTCAGTCCCTTTGTGGTATTTTCTACATTTATGTGTAAACTTCAAAACTCTTACAAAAACCCCATACATGCATATTTTTCTCTAAACTTCCCTATCTTAAAAGATTACCGTGATGTTTTCATACACACTTTTAAGTAAATTTATAATCACACAGGGCCAGTGATGGTATTCTGGGTACACAAATCAAGCTGAATATGGAGATGGACAACTTTGTAATGCTGCATTTTTTGGGGAAAATTATAATGCTGATGTATATGTCTAAAACTATGGAGACGTGTGGTATAATTGTAGTGAAAAATAACACTGGACCATTGGCCCGAGAACACAGGTTGTTATATCAGGTCAGTGAGTAACAGACCTCCAACAAGCTGCATGTTGTGATAAAAGAATTAGTGACAACAAAGCCTGGCAGCTAAGTTACAACTTATAACCGATGAATGCATTTAGTAAAAAGAAAACTGGACATTACATTCAGTTATGTGAAACTGATAAAACTCAGATCATGCTCACTTGTAATACCAAAGTTATGGGGCCTGAAGAGAAGATAACATAAAGTGACATATGCTGAGTTTGGTGCATTTAACATTTTCTGAGAAAGTGTGACAAGAACTGTACCAACCTAAAAAAAATCCATAACAGACAACAAATAATAAAGTATCGGAAATGATTATAGCACAAACATTTCTCCAAAAGGGGCAGAAAAAATCATAAATAACAGGATGACACATCAAAATTCAATATGTAAACCTATAAAAACATAACATGCAAATCATGAGCAATTATAATCTAGAATTACTGAGACAGGACTCTAAAATTAACCACTATTGACAACACGTAATTCCATGGCTGCAAACTACTGAAAAATAATATAAAAATTACAAGACAATAAATATGAAATATCCTCATAAATATCCAAAGTTGGCACAAAAAGAAACACACAAAATATTGCATAGGCTAAACACAATGGGAGATACTGCAAGCAAACAGGACAAAAGCACAGTCATGAGGGCACAAACTAAGCAGAAAGTTTCAAAACTACAAGGGCATTTTCATTCTTAGTGGGTTATTCTGTTTACTTTTGCTTTTGATTTTCTGATCTATTCTTTGTTTTGGGTTTCTTAATTCCTAGAGAAATAATCTATTGCTTTTTTTTTATAGATATCCATTAATTTTACTCTGTTTAACTACCACCAAATGTTTAAAACTCACACAACTATTTAACTGAATGAATGCAATCAATGAAGGATGATTTTCAGTTTCGTTAAATATTACACCCTCCCCCACAAAAAAAAATAAAGCAAGCAGGACGTGAGGTTGTTATGATGGTGACTGAAGAGTCCTAACGTCTGGGACGACACTGTGTAATCTACTAGACGTTTTAATTACATTCCACTGAAATGTTAGTAAATGTCCTTCAGACTATGCAGCATCACATCCAAAAATACAGTGCCCTAAAGTTGTTCCTGTAACAGGCCATGATGTCCCATATGGTTGTGAGACATTGAGGGTCCCACATTATTTCTAGACAATCAGCTCACAGATAGTGGTAAGGACATCAGCCTTATGCGCCAGCTGCCCCTTACCCCCCCCCTCCCCCAGGAAGATTCCTGGTACTCATTTCTGTTAGAGGCTGAGTCGACCCCAGGACCATATTGTGGCTGGAAGGATTAGGTAACTTGAAAAAATCACCTCATCAGGACTCGAACCGGTGGCCTTCCTCCTTGTAGCATAGTGCCTCAACCAACTACGTTACCAAGTGCCCAAAAAGTACTCTTAAAATATAAAATGTTGAATAAAAGTTACAGTATTTAAAGTGAAAAGCAAACACACAAATTCAGGAAAATAATGGGCCATTTATGGCACTGGAATGAAGGAAACCTACCAAAACAGATCAAATGTGTATCCAAATAATGGAAGTGAATAAATAAAACCAAATTAAAATGTCACTTATAAAAAACTTTCATATATATATACACACACAAATAAATAAACACTTAGAAAAATCTAAATATACATAAACAAATAAATATATATAGATGTTGAATGTATTTGCCACTTAGGGTTTTCTTAAAATAAATCGTACCACACTGACAAATCAAATTCTTGTTAACACAGCCATATGAAAATATTTATTCACTGATTCACCAAAATGAATTTACTTATTTGTATATACTGAGTGTTCATTGTGCAGGCTTATTAGACAACCAGGGAGATTTTCAGAACTTCTGTTGCCAGACACTCTAGGATCTGCGGCAAACTGAAGGACATTCATGCGGTGATAACACTGAGTCAGTCAGTGCTGCACCATCAAGTGCTACATAAGCTTTGTATAGTGCTCTGATCTGTCTTTATGGCTTGTGTGGGATACAGTTTATAACAAAGAGATTTCATTTATGACTGTTATGAGAAAATAAGCTCATATAAATCATGCAGGGGAAAATTTTGCTGTAAATTTCCATAAACATGTCCTTCTTGAGATAAAAAAAATAGCTATCCCTGTAACAGGCCGTGAAAGCCCATGGGGTTCTGAGACGTTGAGACTCCCACATTATTCTAGACAATCAGCTCACAGATGGAGGTGAGGTTGTCAGCCTTACGCACCGGTCGCCCTTTACCCCCAGGAGGATTCCTGGTACTCATTTCTGGTAGAGGCCAAGTCAACCCCATGGCCATAGTGCGGCTGGAAGGATTAGGTCAATTGAAAAATCCACCTCATCTGGAATTTAACCCACAACCTTCTGGCTTGTAGCATAGTGCCTCAACCAACTACGCCCCCCATCTGGAGATACATTTTCAAAATTAGTGAAGAAAATTCGAACCCATGGCATTTTAACTGACAGAAAGCTGTTAAAAATAAATCAAGTTTTAACTGGGGAAAAACTTGATGACATTGGTCACTGATTAGAAAATCTTTCTCGGTAGGTGACGCATCGCTTACGCAGGAAGTGGCCAACGGTAAAATTGGTGTTCAATCAGCCTGTGCTCTGAACATTGTCTATATTTGCAGTGACAAACAAAAATAAATGGTTATTGAAATCATCTTTCCTTCTCCTGCATATTTCAAATAATCTGTAACGAAATACGGGAATCGCGTATCTATTATAACAAGCCTATGAACATATACTCTGTTAACAATTTCTATTCTTTATCACTATGACACCAGAGACTTATCTCTTTATGAACTGGAAGGCTGTCCAGCAATGAAACAGTAGGAGACATCAACAGACCCTGCTTTATAAATAAACTTATGATAGACCATGATGAAGGTTTATTCAAACCCTCTTTGTGTTTCAGCAGGGAATAAGCAAGTGTTGAGTCATGAAGGATTAACCATTTTACTGATTATATGATACAGTATCTCATCACAACTCAAAACACACATGGCCTCTACAACAGAGATTTCAGAGCAGCAATGAAAGGGTTATGATAGCACACTAACATTTTACAACAAGAGAACCAGGAGAAATGACCAACATCCAAGTATTACAGTATGACAAGAAATGCATGACTACAGATATTCCAAGCAGTTTTCCTTCTTAGACCATGATCTTCTGGATTGTGATATGTTGTCATAAGAAGTTCCCAACATTTTGGAGAAACCCTGTCATCTCAATCTTCTATCCTGATAATGGAGGCAACAGTTTCCTCCAATAGTGGTATCCACCTAGTAATTACAAAATGTCATAATGCAGAAGACCATAATTAATTTTTACTGCAGTGAAAACCTCAGATCTCACACTTAGTGGTCTGTTTGATCACTTGTACCCAAGCCAATCTCAATATTTCACTCTTTCTTTTAATGTATTTTCCTCCAAAACTAACACACCCAGCACAGCAACCACTTCTGCCTTCAACATATTCATCATAACACCATGTGAATGCAAGTGACTGGAATTTCTTTCGTTTTCTATAAGTTCTGCATTAAACTGTTTAGCCATATAATGTCTAACACAAGTACTGATTAATTCAACAGGTGTTAGATGAGTAGTGTAATTCTGTTACACATAGCCTTCAAGTTAATGAGGGCCAATGTAATCAAACCCTACATCAAAGGTTAAAAATTATGACTGCATGAATCCCTCCTCCTCCTCCTCCTCCCAGGAAAAGATCACTGCCTCATCAAGCCACAGAATCTCTTACCCCACATCACTTATAATGTACCTGCATTTGACTGTGATAGTATGTCTTCCATAATCATTTTTCAGCACTTTATTATATCTCAATGGTACATATGTCTCTTTTGTGCCTATAGGCATATCATCCATCTTTGAATTGAAATCCTCATTACATTGTAGTAAATCAAACGGTACTTGGTATATTTCAGCAACAAAAGACAGTCACAGTCTTTGTTGTGGATACCATGAGAAATATGGCAGTTGGATGGCTCTTCAGGTAATGGGGTTCTAGGACAAATTACGCAGTACAGACATCAGAAAAACCTCCAATATAATTAACAAATATTAGAATTTAGAAACAGATGGATTCCTCAAACTGCATTAAAATGTAAACTTAAGAGATGAATAATTCACATAAGACTGAAGAAAAGACGACCTGGAAGAGGCATTAATGCCTATGCAAAAAAACGACTAGTAGTTATGTCAGTTATACCATGTTTCATCATTCAGCCCAGCTATAAGACTTAATTGGGTGAGCAAGCATAAGATTAGTCTAAGGCTTCATATTTATCCTGCGTGGGTATGTGCATCACATGGGCACAGACAAAACTACCAACGTTTCAACCCAAAGTAGTAGTACTTAAGCAACAATGTGTGTGGACAGCACCTGGACTGGTGACTGCTTGACAACACCATTTGCTGATGACTTTTCCATGAACTTGGTGGCCTATAAGGACCATTTTTTGGTCCCATTCCCCTATTCATCATACCCATGATCCATACTGACACTAGTCCTCACCCTTCCTCCATGATCTTTTGAAACAAAACCTATATATACAGGAACGCACCCTATTTTTTATTACCCACAGCAAGCACCTCTGATACACCAGCAACATTGCTACATTCTATATGGTACAAATGCCCAAGAGCAAGATCAACAGTAAATACAAAGACATTATTAGCTAAACTGTGTAACCTTATCCAGTTACTCCAAAATTTATCAACAGTAGACAACCAACAAGAGATGCCTCTGAAATATTATAACCTGAGAAAAGATAACAGATTTGTTAACTGAGAACTGATGCATAATTTAAGAGATTACAATAATATTTAGATACACATTTCATACGCCTAACAGTGAGCTATTCACCATAAGACATAATGCATAAATACTTATGAGCTGTGTGACTTACTATAATATCTAATAATACCTCTTTATATTAGATACGGGTAAGTTTCATATTATTTAATGAAACCATAATCTCTCTATCTGATATTGGACCCCTCTCATTTTCATAATCATCCTCCATTCATCCTAACTCACAGTGCCCTGTAATTATGTACAACTCTATCCCTGAGAACCCAGTGAGGCCCTGTTCTTTCACAAACTAAATCCAAGTCTTCATCCCACCTGAGCTACCCTAGATATTGCGATGAGGTACAGAAGGTCTGATATCAGCTGTGATGCGAACACTGCAAAATGAAAAAGTCTGCACACAAAATTATTTCCATATCTCATGCCTGATACATACATACAGCATTAACACCTATGCCACTTATCAAGGTTGGGACAGTGAAGGGTTTTACTTCCATACTTTACAAACACACTCCCGATATGGTGCTTACAGACCAGAATAACTTATTACACTTTATACTGATATTAAATGAAGGCACAACTGTAGTTTTAACTTTTATAAACACAAAACTAATTACAAATACCAGTACTGATGTCTAGCTATCTCTCATGTGAGAGGAAGTCATTACAAATAATTTCTTTCTAGCAGTGTTGCCATAACACAAGTAGCATGCACAAGAACAATGTGACTGTGTAACCTGACATGTCCGTGTCTGTTGAAGCTCTTAGATCCAGTTTTTGGTACAGGCTACTGCTAGACATAGCTGTGGACAATAAGGAGCAAACTATTAGGACAAACCTCTATGTATCTACAGCGCACTTACATTAGCCTGACACCATCCACTTCTGCAGGAAACTATAATTCTTGTACAATTACCACTGGCTGCTTGTTGTGGATGCAGGAAATGGAGAAAACCATGTGACAATGTATTTTATTATTTCAATATGAAACTTTCATGCCAAGAGAGTATATATTCACAGATTTACAAGGGTGGGTCAGAAAGTATCCACAAAGTATTTATTAAATTAACACCACAGCGTATAACTCACAGGTGCATCATTTTAAAACACAGTCTCCACCCGCTTCTCAATATATATAGTCCAGCACTGCACAAGCTTATGTACGCCATTAGAAAAAAATCTTTACAATTTCCCAATGTTGGGTGAGATGTAACCTTAACAGAGGATGTCAAGTATTTACATTCCATATTCTGATATTTGCCGTCTGGCTTATAGTTGTGGAGTGTTGTGTCACCAATAACAATACAGCTCAAAAGACATCATTTTAGTCATAACACTGGTTAAAAAGGAGGTTATGTTATCCCATGAGTTGATTTGGAACACATGTGTCATAAACTCTACAGAAGTGAAGTCCATGGTGGGTGATTTCAGAGGCAGAACTGCGATTAATCTGCAAGTGCTTTTCCATGTTATACATGATCACCCTCTAGCTGCTAAGAATTACTGTAGAGACTTTTTCAGTGTTCCCTTCAGCAGATGTGGACAGACATTCTGATCAGTCTTCATCACTGATATTCATTTGGCCATTTGTACGCACTTTGCTACAGCACAACACTGCCACTGTACTGTGATGATAGTCTTCAATGAATTTCCACACCTCTTACACTATCAGGCCAGAAAAATCAAATCACTGCACACTGCTGTTCTTTGGGGCACACAGTAAGTGGAGCAACCATGCTGATGCCACTAGTAGTGACAGGCAACTGAACTGTGGAGGTCAGATAAGTCATTACAGTAGGGAGGTTCTGTGATTACAGCTACATGCGCATTCAGTAGTGGGACCAACGGCAACAATAGATATTAACATTTCGCGGATACTTTTTGAGTTACTCTCATATATATACAGGATACTTTCCATAAAGAATGACTGGGCTGCCAAAATACTATTCTGTAAACCAAAGTAACAGGTTGTTAAGACTTATTTTCTGAAACCAAATTAATAATGAAGCTACAATCAAACCTGAGAGTCATATCAGGTTTCTTCTTCGGGGTTCTGAAGTCATGATAGAGACAGTATATTCTTCTGAAGCTGAAAACATTCCCAGTACCACAAGGTGTCAGGACCCAGGAGAAAAAAAAAAACTGTTAAGTTGTATACAAATCACTCTGAAAACCTGAAGTCCTACAAATCTGACACTGCATAATTATTGGGCTTGGTACATCCTAAACTTTTAAATAAAAGAAATTCATTACAATAGCATTTCTGAAAAGTTCTTGGCCCATTACAAGTGAAACAAAACTTTGAAAGTATACAGTGAAGACACAACATGTATATTAAAAAAAGGAATGATAAATTTATTAAAGAGTACAACTGATAATAAGCAAACACTGAATTCACTGTTAGGTGATACTCAAATTCACAAAAGTCAAAATGCTTTCATGGATGGAGCATGAGATATGACTTCCGTTTTTGGGAATACACTGTGTAAATGTTGAAGATCTGCCATCATCCTGATCCTCTGTTTCACCTAGAACCCCATTTCTTAGTTTCATCCAATCAAATTTTCATCTCTGACTCACCACCTACTGTAAGATCCATATACGAAATGCTGAACGCCCCCCTCCCCAATGTCATTAACCCTGAGGTTGGCAACTGCAATGTTTGCCAAAACACTGGAAAACCTTCAACATTCTGTACAGCATATTCCAAAAAATTAAAGTCACATACACATATATATAATTTTTTTTTCATAATTCATAATTTATTTACATCCATACTCTGTTACACAAGTACAATTGGACAAGTCACTTTAAACCATCTAAAATACTACAAGTCAACAACTCTTAAAAATGTACAAAACAATACACAAGACTATGAACAATACAGGCATCTTAGGATCATTGTCCCCCTGCTGCAGCTAGCAACTGCGGGTGACAACCCCCCAACAATCCAATATAAAGAACACATACACTTATACTTACACATCCACACCACATCAGAACCAACCCAAGCAACCAAACTAACATCCATCATTGTTATTAAAAACTCCCGCAGAGACTAAAACCAGCTGTGTAATAAATAACTTTTAATTTATTTTTAAAAACTTTAAAATATTCTATTCTTTTTAATTTAGGAGGCAAGCTGTTATGTATTTTAATTCCCATGTTAATTACACTTATTTTGCAACAGTGTTGAATGTTTATACATAAAAATCCGGCTTTTCTTTAATGTTATACTTGTGAATGTCAGAGTGAGTTGTGTAGATCTTGTTGTTTTTTAAAAAGCATAAGATCTTGTATATATATATACCGTATTTACGCATGTATAGGCCGCGTGTGTGTATAGGCCACAGCACAATTTTCAGACAGAAATTATAGAAAAAATAATTTTCTTGGAATATTATTTCAGGGGTATTACAAATTATGAATATATTTTTTTTAAATGAAGTGTGATTTCGAATATTTCAAATATAAGCCACACCCCAGTTTTCCTCTTGAATTTTTGGAAAAAAATGTGCAGCCTATACGTGCGTAAATACGGTGTATATATATATATAAAGAAGTTACTGAGTCTCGTATGGATTTAAGCAAATAAAGAGCTTTGCTTAATTTATGGCAGAGGTAGTGTATATGAGTGGTCCAGCTTAAGTTATCTGTGGTATAAATACCAAAAATTTTAAATTTGATGAGTAAATTGTTTCTTTATTTTTTAGATACAGAATGGGTCCATGAGTTAAACTAGATCCTTTTCCCTGTTTAGTATATATTTCAAAGACACACTAAACCACAGAACTACAAGAATAAAGGTATAACACTCTCTAAGCTCTAGAAAAAAATTTCATTTCTTTTTTTTTCTTCACTGCAATTGTGTTCAAGAGGCCAGGGTTGAGTGTTGAATATTCAAATTTAAAAGTGTAGTCATACAATTCCTTTTGTTTAATTACAGAGAAAACCTTAAGAAGGTGGTTCATTTTTCTTCGCAATTTTCTCAGGAACATTCTTCTTCATTCAATATTTAGCAAGATATGTCCCCTGGGTATTGCAAAATGAGCAACAAACCTGGCAAAGCTTCCAAAAAGAAAAGTGCAAATTTATACAAGATGCAACAAAGCAAGAGCTCGAGTGCTCTCTTCTGGGAAGCAAGAAGCAAAATGGGTTAAATGATCCCAAATGCAGCCACTGGAAACCAACCAACCAACACATTACAGTACTTCAAGTAAAGAGGTATTTAAATTTGTCAAATATAAATGAAAATTGAAATGGCTTAATGATTTTTCATCAAATTTCATGAACATAGTTGTTCCATGCATACCAACTCATAAATGATAAGACTAAGCAGACTCGGTAGGTGCTCTGCAGGGTTGCAAATATGCCTAAAAAGAACGAGACAATTTAAGGCAGTATACAACAGTCGACAACAACAATAAATAATTCTCATTGTATAGATTTTGCAAATTTGTTTGGCTTCATGACATCTACATATGACATAGGAATGAAAAGGACCTAAGACCTTCCAGAACAGTGCATCAGTTCTCAACAAAAACAATAAATGAACTTTGGAACTAAAGGTCTATGTGTGTATAAATGACACACTTCCTGGACTACAGGTTCAGAAGGAATGGATCAACAGTCAGTATTCATTTATGGAATGCCCTGTATATTCAGAGTAAAATGTGACTGTTAAGAACACAAACAGTGATGAAGGTAAGCCATATTCTTGGATATGATCTTAATTACTTACTTACTCATGGAGTTGAGCCCTTCTTGAGGATCTGCAAAATCTGCAGCTGCTCAAGAATTTCCCAGCATCTTATGGAACCCGAAGGTCCAGTACTGTGTTCACAAGAGTCCTCTACTGGTCCCTATCCTGAGCCAGGTCAATCCAATTCATACCATCCCAACCTATCTCTCTAAGATCCATTTTAATATTGTCCACCCACCTACGCCTTGGTCTTCCCAGTGGTATCTTTCCTTCTGGCTTTCCTACCAATATCCTATATGAATTCCTCTTCTTCTCCATTCGTGCTACATGCCCTGCTCACCTCATCCTCCTTGACTTGATCATTCTAATTATGCTTGGAGAAGAGTACAAATTATGAAGCTCCTCATTATGCAGTTTTCTTCAACCTCCTGTCACTTCATTTCTCTTCAGTCCAAATATTCTCCACAACACCCTGTTCTCAAACACCCTCGGTCTATGTTCCTCCCTTTAGTACATGAAAACAGCTCTGTCACATATTTGAAATGCATAAGGCTTAAAAATACAGCTGCAAAACCACCACACAGGGTACTGTCTTCACAGAGCTCAATCATAACACTTTACACCCCAGTCCATAAATAACAATACAAGACCTTAATGATGGGCCACCAACGGTAACATAAAATTATCTAACAACAAATATCAACAGACATGAAAGTCTGATCACAACGAGATTTATCTTCCAAAGACATTTAAGAAGAAACACCACATAATCTATATACTCTCAATCCAGTGTCCTCCACAGAATAATTAATATGATATATTACACATTCTACGGTCATTTTTACTAATTTCAGATCCAGTAAGAAAGCATCTTATGTACAGAACATGGATTCATGCTCTATTGTTGCCAAATTGTAACTAAATGCATGTACCTTAATCATGCACACTCCCCTCCACAACATAATCACACCCATCTAATTACCTTGGCATCACAAATTTCTAAAATTCCCCCAATGTCTCCTTTCACCTTTGGAAATCCCCCTAGCATTTACAGTGATTTACATCTTAATTTATTCAATTTTTAATATTTAAATTTAATATGTACATGCCAATTTCACTGTTTAAAATTTAATGTGTAAATGGTAATTTCACTAACAAATTTTCAATTTTATGTGGTGTGTTCAAAAAGTATTGAGCCTTCTTTTTCCCGCGTAAACCAATGAAGCGCAGGAGGCTCCCTTTGGTGGAGATCTGCAGGGGACATTCATGGGCAGTTGTGAATTTTTTCCCACCCGCAGAAAGCGTCAAGTCGCTGGCAGTCAGCCTATGAGTGAGGACGTGTAGTGAGTGCTCGTCGCATTCCAGTAAGATGTAAAATGACGGAACAACATGAGCAGCGATATTGCATCAAATTTTGCAAAAAGCTTGGCAATACCCAAATGGAAACCATTCACAAGATTCAACAGGCTTTCGGGGACGATGCCATGAGCAACTCATGGATAAAGAGCGGTACAACTGCTTCAAAGATGGCCGCACATCAGTGGACAGCGAACCGCGTTCACGCAGACCCTCAACAAGCCGAAATGAGAATGTCATTGAGCAAGTGCAGACTTTGGTCATGGAGGGCCGTCGTATCACAGTCCGAGAACTTGCGAACGAGATTGGGGTAAGCACTGGATCGGTACATTCAAGTCTGACCGAGGATTTGGGCATGAGGAGAGTGTCCGCGAAATTCGTACCGAAACTGCGCATCTGATTCAGACTTTCGTCACCAAACACAACATCCCTGTGGTTCATCAGGCTTCCTACTCCCCAGACATGGCTCCGTGTGACTTTTGGCTATTTCCCAAGCTGAAAATGCCACTGAAAGGAACCCGATTTGAGTCAAGAGAAGACATCATGCGGAATGCAATGGCCTGGCTGATCACCATTCCAAAAGACGTGATCCAGAAGTGTTTCCAACAATGGCAGAAGCGCTGGGAGAAGCGTGTGCATTACCAAGAGACTACTTTGAAGGGGATTAGGGTTTTGTACCTCCAAATCACTAAATGTATTTCTGCCGACCAAAGGTTCGATACTTTTTGAACACACTACGTATGCCAGTATTGTAACTTCGTAGAATTCTGTCAACATTGGTATTGTGATATGATGGCTGAAAATGGGAATAGTGGAATGAATAGATGCAGCCATTGCTAGGCAAAACAGTGCCATAAACACATCTCCACAGCAATGAATTAACACGCAATAATAGAGGAACTGTTGGAAGCAGTGTTTTCTATATGGCTGTACCAAGGACCAGCAGCAATTGCAAATGACAGACCCTTCCTCTCATCACAGGGGGCACTCCACAGCAACAAACCTGCAACTACCTAGCACTAATAAAGATCTGGCCTTAATCCCCAGATGCGTACTTTATTCCAAGACAGGCTGGCCATCTGCCGTCAGTTGTAATATAACTCTTGCTCTGACTAAGAGATCAGAGAAATGAAACTGGGAGTTCTGAGGAGAATTACTGAAGAAGAATTAGAAGACAGTCGTAGCTGAGAAGCCATGAGTCATACTGAATAGAGAAGGCTAGAGACTCATTATCTTAATGTGTGACTAAATAGTATATTGCATAGCAAAACTAAAACCATTAACCCTCCTAAGTAACTCTTGCAGAAATGACAACAGTAGGAATACAAGAGCATTACAATACTGTCACCTGCATGAGCAACTATAGAAAGGGTTTTGATTGGTAACCGGATTTACTGACCATTTACAGGTCATAACTACAAATAACTACAGTTCCCCTGCTAACTGACACACTCTACAATTCACTACAGCAAGCACTAAAGTCTCTGCAGTCTGCTGAGTCTTCACAAGTTGTTGCTAGGTAACAGCTCCAATGGCAGATGTTCTTTTGCTCTGGGTTCCCAAACTATCCCCATGCCTCAGTTATCTGTGTCTAACAGCAACAGCTCACAAGGACTGAACCACAGCAGTTCTCTAACTCACTCACTCACTCACTGACCAACTCTTCACTAGGTTGCATTGCACTGTCACTAACTGTCCTGCTTATAACATCTTGGCATTGACCACACAGAAAATACCATTCCCCTGTTGCTGTTCAATTGTTGCTTAGCGGACCAAACAGAAAATACTGCTTCCCAGTTAGTCTACTGGTGAATATTAGGAATCTGTTACCTAGCAACAGGTGTTGTTTACAGAGTCATTACTTAGCAATGGGTCTACATGTTACAATATGGTAATCATTGCTCACTCATCATTTACTGCCAAACCTCTCACAAAATTCAAGTTATAATTACACTTCACTCACCTAATGAATAGCTTGAACGAAATTAAATTACATGAAACTACACTGTACTATATATGAATGCAGCAAATTCCACCAAATTATATATTTACCAAAGTATATGGCATCACATCTTTGCAGATGCAATCTGATAAATTAAAGCCTGTAATCTGATTCATATTTGATGGACCAATATTGAAATACATACAAAGAAAGAGAGAGAGAAAGAAAGAAAGAAGAAAAGAAACCTACTCAATTTTACTTAATAGCACGATTATAAACATCTGTTGCTAATTGTACAATTGTATCAAACATAATGCATGCAAAATTTCTGGAAAGATTGATAATGCTATGGGGTTCCATTAAGGATGGGGCTTCATGTGAAGAGTGAAAGTAGACTTAAATTCTCTTCACAGGAATAGCAATTAACATATATCATTAATTAATGCACAACTGGTGGCTTCTCAAGAAAGGCTCAACTCCATGAAGTTAGTTAGTTAGTCAATCAAAAATAAAGGAATTTTGGTAAAACATTTATCATCCTGCAACTTGAAAACCATACAACCTATACACCTATCTGTCAAATGTTTCCTAAAATAATGACAGTCAGTTTTCATGACAAACATAAGAATCATACTGTGACACAATGAAGTTTGACTAAAAACACAACATGAATAAGATCTAAAAGTTTGTGACGATGGCATATTAAAAAAACTATTGTGCTTCTGGACATTATCCATCGTCCTATTTTTATTTAGATGGAGACAGGGACTAGCTCTATTGAATGGGTCCAACTGAGGAGGTTCCACCTGAAGTTGGAGACAGAATCCAGTCCCCAAAACACTGTGTTTTAAATAAAAACAGGACGATGAATAATGTCCAGAAACACAATACCTGTAATATCATAGTCTGAACATGATGCTCAATCAATATTCCATAACTAACACAAGCCCCCTGTCATCTGCAAGACACACCGACATCTTACAGGAAATGCTGAAATTAACATGAGCTATACAGTACACATTAGTCTCTTGTGAACATAAAAGTACATATTCGGCTTTCATAAGTTTGGGTTTCTTGACTGGTGAAGGACTACCAGCTTCTCAAGAATGACTGTGTTCTATGAATTCTTATTCAGTTAGTGAGCAATTTGGTTCGTTAGTAGGTACAGTACACAAATTAGGGGTAACATTACGTACCATACAACTTATCATAGATATTTTGGGCACAATCAACAGCATAAAAAACTTTTAACAAGCGACAGCAGAACAAATAAAATAGTACAATAAAGCAAAGCATTAAATTCACTCACATAATTCAATGCATTTTCCAAAACTGGCCAACTAACATTCCTAACGTTCTTCAAATTACAGATGTACAAATAACCACTTAATGTTTATGCTAAAAATCATGTCACGAAGATACAATAATTCTATAAACGTGTGAAGTCCAATGCATACCGATTACAAGCTTTCTGCAGCACTCAACTTCAATAATGCCACTCCAAATAAAGATTAATATCTATTTCACAGATCGAGATAATCATGGCATAATGCCGTTACGTGGAGAGATTGTTTCTCATTTTCTTTCATAATGTAATAAACATCACTTACAACATTAAATTTAATGCATGAATTTGGAAAACATACCTTGATTCAATTGGTTAGAAGAATTTCCCTGATGTTCTGCCATCTTGAAATATATCAGACGCTCTTGTACACAACAACTTTCGCCACTTTAGGGAACTTTTCTAGCCCCCTTAATGAAAATAAAATGTCCTCCACTAATAAGGTAAATCATTTGTTTCGTCTACTTATTTATTATTCTTCATTAATACTTATAAATTAATTTTTACATCACCGTAAGCACCTTCCCAATACACAACTCCTTGATTGTGATTTTAAATCGCTCACCCAGCGCGCTGTTGTTCCCAAAATATCCCCCAAAAAATATGGCCACTGTGAATAAGGTGTTTCGTTCGGTACTGGGAAAACATGTTCTCGTTAATAGTGCATCAGCTTTGTACAAGTACGTTTACTGTAAAAGTTATTTTCTTCTGTACAATAATAGAACTCAGACAATGTAAGACAAATCAGTTCTCTTTGATGGTATTAGTTGGTGTTATAACCTAGCCTCGAATGACAACCAATCTCAACATAAATATGTACACGTAAAAGTGGAAGACGTTATTCCACACTGAGAATTAGTAATTTATGGGATAGGTTGTTACACGAATACCTTTACTTGTTTGTTTCAGATGTGTAAATATTGTGAATGCGTATAGCATGTATGGTCCTCAATTTGTAGAGCCCATTTACAAGAAGGAGCAGCAAGAATCGATGTACGAGTCCGGTGAGGTTGAAAATATCTTACATGTTCCAGTTAAAGCAGCACGTGTTGATGCTACGTGTTCTGTGTTCCATGATGATCTTGTCAGGTAGGTAAGCATAAATTGTTTCATTTTAAACCAAATGGAGTGTGAAAAGCATAGTTTTAAACCCACTGTAAACTTAATTTGTAACATAGGAAACATCTGAACAATATTTTGAAATTCTAGTTTAGGAAAATAATCACTGTTTATTCTTGGAATCACGTGAAATCCATGAATACATTCGTGAAGAAAATGCAGTCTTCTTGAACTTTAAGACAGTAAAAGTAAATAAAGCTATCCCTGTAACAGGATGTGAAGGCCCATAGGGTTGTTAGACGTTGAGGGTCCCACATTATCCAGACAATCGGCTCAAAGATGGCGGTGAGGTTGTCAGCCTGACACGCCGGCCGCACTTTACTCCCCAGGAAAATTATTCAATTAATTCCTGGTACTCATTTCTGTTAGAGGCTGAGTAATGTAGTTAGTTGCAACTGTGCAGGCGAGAGTTAAAGGACAATCCAAAACACACTAATTAATTTCTGAATATTTTTGCTTTGCATTTAAGGAAGGTTTTTCCTCATTTGTAAATACGTATTTCCTGACGTATCATCACATAGCATATTTGACACAGTACTTATGCAGTAACTATATTAGAACATATGAAGGTCTGAATTTATTGGGCAAAATGATCATGACTGTCTACAGTACACTGATAAAATTGTGCATACCATACACATCCAAGCACCACTATCCATTTCTGAAAATGTTCATTAAATTATACAGTTTGCATTCATACCAACTTCACTCATTATGACATGTCAGCAATAATGTACAGTGTTATACAAATATGTCAGTAACAGATTGTCATAACATATTGCAGAAAGTCCCAAGAATAGCGGTCATAAATGAAGAATTTTCTATTTAACCGCAATGTATTGTAGGTGATCAGTAACTTAATTATTTATTCAGTATTGTCTTTAAGAAATACTAGGTTTCACTTAACATGGTAAAAAGTATATTTTTCTTTGATGGTGCAAAGATATAAGAAATATATGTTTTAAAAGTAAATGTTTTTTTTACTAGGAAATTCACAAACCATGTGATGAAAGATGGAAATAAAGTACTGGCACGGGAGTTGGTTGAGAAGGTAATGTTATTACATACTGGAAACACTGGCACATTTTGATTCCCATTATTTATGTAAAATAAGGCACAGCATAACCAAATACCATATTACTTGAATGCGTAAGATTGTCTGACAAATCGCACTTTTCTAGGAACTATATTTGTAGATTTGTAACAAAATAATTCTGTAGCATCTTTGTACATTATTATTTATTTACAAAAGTAAATACAAGTATGTTATTCCTCAGGCTTTTCAGAAAATTAAGAGAATCCAGTTGCAGCGGTACCATGGTGCAGATGATTCTGAGAAGAAAGCCTCCATTGAAACAAATCCATTGAAGATTTTCCATATGGCCTTAACCAATACCAAACCTGTACTCCAGCTAACACCCATCAAGCGTGGTGGAGTGACATACCAGGTTGGTTGTTACTGAAATAATAATGGGGGTACACTAGACTTCCAACTAACAGGGGTAAGATTATCCAGAGGCTTTTTTTTAATTGGCTAGTGTTGTGTGAGATGTCAAAAGATAAAATTCACATGAAATTACTTTTTGAAAAGGAACATGTAAAAAAAGTAATTAGAGTTTTATTTCACATCAGCATAGGAGGTTCTCAGAAATGACACTCATGTTTCTAGCAATATACGCTTATAAATGTCTGTGTAATTTTGTACATTCCTATTGACAAGTTGGTTACATATTACTTTTACTGATTATCCAGGGAAATTCATTTCCCATCCAACCTGAACATTCAGAAGTTTCCTGTATTCAGGAAGAGGCACTATGCTACAAGCTGGAAGGTCGCGGGTTCAAGTCTCGAGGTGGATTTTTTTTTTTAATTTACCTAATCCTACTACCTCTATGGTCTAGTGGTCAGCGTTCCTGGTTCGATTCCTGGCGCTACCAGATTTTCTGAGAAGTAGTGGGTCTGGAATGGGGTCCACTCAGGTTCGTGAGGATAATTGAGGAGTGATTTCAAGGAAATAGTGGCTTCTATTTAGAAAACCGAAATTAACGGCTATGGGGATTAGTTGTGCTGACCATGCAACACCCTCTATCCACTAAAGTTGGCACTAACTTCGCCGACAAGCAGCGGTCGCTCGGTCCATCATAAGATGAGGCATCTGCAAACCAATTAACATCAAAACTATACCACACTGATACTAATGGCCTCCAAGCAATTTATTACATGTATACAAGTCTAGGATATACCATTATGTCTGTGGGAATATAACAGAATATTGCAACAACTGACTTCATGATATGGAATATCACATGAAGAGTTTTTAACCTTATTTTATGCCACAACTTTCATTTTTATATGTTTATAGTTTACTGTATTTTATAATGTAGTAATTAGCAAGTATCCAGCTTCGCCATTGCGATTGTGGTTCAGTAGTGTGTGATATGGTAATCGTGTGCTTGCCTGATGATGGCTTTAATAGCCGAAACATGTAGCTAAGCTAATTTTAGCCTGGACCATTGTATTGTTGTGTTGTGACGGACTCTAATAAAGAATTGTAAATGCTTCCTGTGTCATCCTGGCAGTACTATAGTTACCAGACTTGGCTGTATTCAGTGTTCTGAGAAGCAACATAATCAGTCTTTGGGAGAAATATCAATGCTAATGAAACTTTTATGTCAGATCATTATAACAGCTGTGTTTAAAGGACAGTGCAACTGACATGTAGCAGGTGATGACTATATTTATAGAAAGATACTATCCCAAAAAGATTATTTTTTTCTGGCATATAATGCCATATAGTCTGGTAGATCATTACATTACACAGCATTAAATCCCAAAGACTGTAAATCTTCACAATCACTCGCAAGAACCTCAAATTTCACATGCTATCCCAGTATGGTGTTGATTTTTAACAGGCCATAAAGGCCCATAGGGTTGTGAGACGTTGAGGGTCCCAAGTTATCTAGACAATTGGGTCAAAGATGGCGATAAGGTTGTCAGCCTTACTCATTTCTGTTAGAGGCTGAGTGAACCCCAGGGCCAGAGTGCGGCCGGAAGGATTAGGTCAATTGAAAAAAATCCAATGACCTCATCAGTATTTGAACCCGTGACCTTCTGACTTGTGGCATAGTGCCTTAACCACTACGCTTCTGCATGCCCCTGATTTTTAATACCTGTTTATTATTTTTAAATGTTTTTATAGGTTCCTGTTCCTATAACAGATAACAGAGCTCGGTTCATGGCAATGAAATGGCTAATTCTGGCTGCCAGGGATAAGGATCTTAGGGTACACTTCCCTGAGAAACTTGCATGGGAACTAGTGGATGCAGCAGCAAATCAGGTGTGCAGTCGCCGTCAGCTGTTATCATGTATATTTCAAGACATGCCAAAAAAAAAAACCCTTACATTAAGTTTGTAAAAATGTCAAGAAAGGAATGTAACTATTAATGTCAAAACTCAAAATGCAAATGAAAATATTTGTACCTTTGTAAGATTTGAGGCTTTCACGTCGGTGACTATGAAGAAAGCAGTCTTCTGGGATTTGGCACCGTGTATATGTGGTGTTAACCGACGTTTCGGAAGAACGTATCGCCCCCATCTTCAGGGTTGAAGAAGTATAAGTAAATCTGCAAGCGACAACACTGTGAGACACGGTCAAGCAGACTTACTTA